AAGTTTGTATGGGGCATCAATAGCCGCTGAACCGATTAAATGACATTTGGTATGAAAATACTTGCCGTGTGGTGACGGATTAAGAATACAAATTGTCACCACCCCAATTCATCCCGTGGGTGTCGTAAGAGCCGACTAAGGGAGCAAACTAAGCAGGACAACAGCACTGCAAAGAGAAGGAAAACTTGAAACAAACCCTATACCAACCCGTCTGGCCAGCGTGGTATAGTAGGCCAAAACCTCCTTTCTAAGGAGAGGCCTATGTCCAGCAGTGGACTAGTATAGGCTGTTGATGTGATGATGATGTGATGATGAAAATACTTTGATTCTTGAGAAAAGACATAGGCTATATTTTAACGCGATAACCATATTAACCGGAGCCGCGGGCAAAACCTAGTGATCTATATAACAGAGGCCATAGTGCGAGTTTATTTCACATCTACTGGATCGTCACGGTGACCGGTGACCGGTGACCTTCACTAGGCCCTCAGTTTTAAAGTATCTACCATGGGAGATCCATGCCTTAACACAAATGGGCCGACTCGGCTGGTGTGATACCATTACATCACAGAAAACCGATGTTAATCAGTTCTTCCGTTTCTTTTCACCGAGTGAGTGAGACCCCAAACCCCCCAGGCGCTACGTGATGGAGTATCTACTTGTGCCAGTTGGCGAAGTCATTATTCATTCAGTAATTGACCTGTTGGTCAGTAGATGGCGATCCTGATCGCTAAGACAGAGCCTAAGTCCCACGCCGGACCTCTGATTCTGGGAGGGGGGGGGGGGGGGGGCAGAAAGTGTGGCAACGCACTTGTGACTCTTCTGTTTTCCATGGACGGCGGTAGTTACCTACCATCAGGTGACGTGACTGCTGTCTGCCACCCACCTTATATCATAAAGAAAAGTAAATTTCAAAACATAGGCTTTCCTCCTAATTGTGCTCTGCCCACCTATAACGACTACATAAAAATGTGCTCTGTGGTCTCTGGGATGTGTGCTTACAAATAAACAAACAGTTTACCGATAAAAAAAAAAAAAAAAACTTATATTCGCTGATTTATGTTCCATTACTCTTATTTATAGAGTTCCCCTTTCTGTTTCACTCTTTTTTTCAGAGGTCGTGAAACAAATAAACACTTATTTTCACATTTATAATAAAGTATGGATATTCATCAGTAGTCTGGTTCCATGCTGGCTTGCTAACTTGGGATCAAACATCCGTGTGTGAGATGTGTTATTATTATACCTAATCATCTATACAAATAAATAAAATTGAAGTGTCTGTTTGTAATATGAAAATAACCGCTTTTACTAAATGCATATGTATGTTTACACGGTACATATGACAAAATATCATTTTTTACAATTTTTGTCTGTCTGTCTGTTTGTTCCGGATAATCTCTGGAATGGCTGGACCGATTTCGACGGGACTTTCACTGGCAGATAGCTGATGACATAAGGAGTAACTTAGAGTAACTTAACTACTTTTTTTAGACCAGCTTCGCCCCGCGGCGTTTCCCGCGGTTATAACAACAAACGCGGGTAACACCACGGGTCTCAGCTAATAAATAAATATAAATAAACCTTATGTGCTTTAGATCACATGACTGAAGTAAAACTTTTTGGCTATGAGAGGAAGAGAGAAAGAAAATGTGTGCTCGCACCTCTCTTTCTCTCTCTCTTGCCTCTAAAGTAATACAAAATCGTCTCTCTCTTTCTATCTTCACTAACTCATATCTCCCTCACAACTTCCGTTCGCCTCACCCGATCACACTTTTCGTAAAGCTCTCGTCACGCATTCACCACCTTACTCCCCAAGTCAAACGTGCGTAAAGTTGTTTTACTTCAATAAATAAGTACTATTTACTTGTGGACACGCCATATTTAAAATATCTCTGTGTCTTGTTAAGTTATTATAAACGGGATATTCACCATGTCTCTTTTCGGGAATTAGTGTCGGATATTTTAGCACTGTTGCAAGGACCATGATCAAGGATGAAACGTAAACACCTATTAACAACCCCTATTAATACAAATGTGAAAATAGTTGTCTGTCTGTTACGCTTTCGCGGCTAAACCACTGAACTAATTTTAATTGAATTTGGTATTCGTATACTTTTATTCTAGGCTACTTTGTACTGCGATAAACGACATACAGGCGGGCAGAGCCGCGGTCAAATGCCTATTCAAGCTTCTTTTTATCGAAGAAAAAACTTAATTAACAAATCTGTCTTGAACCGAAAAACTCAAACATAGCCGCGTAGAAGTCCATACACACTGTTACTGTAACTGAAGCTCTTGGAAATGAAAAATTATCCCTTGATTGTTCCAACACGGAAATGTTCTTGCATAGAATAATAACAGGTTCATTTTTATGCTAAACGAGCTATTAATTTTTTTAAATTCATAATATCCTTAATAGGTCTTGGGAGACAAAGGATCTATTATCCTTAACACTGTTCAAGAATCGAAGAGGGTATTGTAAAAAGAGCAACTACAAAATGTAGAAGATAGTTTTTCAGCCAAGCTTTAGAACCATTAACAGGGTGTAAGGGACATCGTAACGAATACTGAAATAGTGTATTCAGACCATCATTCTGAGTTAAAAATCATTGGAATCTCCAGCCGGAAAATTGAAATTTTTATGCAATCAGCTGTCAAAGATAAAGGTCAAAAGTAATAAAAAAGAATAACTACATGTGTTACTACAAAAGTAATAACTACATGTGTTTTCCGTGCAAACAGTCTACGCACACTAACACAAGTTGGCGGTCGGATCGGAGGCCCCGCGCGCTTCGGCTGTTTGATTAATTACATTGCAGTTTTTGACCGTATGCGGTATTTATTAATTTGTTTTCGGTGAAATGTTCTTTTTACTCATTTGTGATATACTTTTAAACCAAAAAAAGAATTTTTTTGACGTGACAACGTCTTATAATTCGATGGAGCCGGCACGCACGAAAAAACATGACTCATGCGGCGTTACCTCGCTCTGAGGCGTTCCATTTAAGGCGTGAAGTGCAAGCGAGAGCGCGGAACGAGTGACAAAGAGGCACAATCGGCCTCCGCGTTCGGCAGCGTTCGACATCTGTCTCTCTCCTACTTGAGTGAGCGATGCGTCCGCGTGGACAGCTGCTACTCGTATACAATAATACATTTTTGAAAAATGCAACCATTCCATCAGTATTTTCTTGTGACGTTGTCACGTTCAACTATCGTCAGTAAACCGACTTTACAGACAACCGATTTTTTTATTATGAATTTTCTGGCAGAAAATTCCAATGATTTTTGATTAGAATAATGATCTGAATCCCCTATTTCAGTATTCGTTACGATGTCCCTTACACCCTGTATACAAGTAGTTCTAAAATCAACTGTTTAATAAATGTAAGCTGCATATTCTACTTCAACGCGTTTACATGCTTGCATTGTAATGGTTATCACGTTGAATTATAACAAAATGTATTCTTTATTCCTTAATTTTATACTTAAGAGGACTAGGCTTGATTTTTTTTCTATAAATTTGTATGGGACCCAACAGGTAGTATACTTACTACAAACCTATCCCTATATACCCTTTCAAAAAAAAAATGGTGATTTATTAAATCGGTTCATAATGAGTTTATAAAAACATCGAAAAAAATTTAGTTTTTATAAACAAGCTTTTATAGAGCTTGTATATTTTGTTGCACCAAAATACAGAACAAATGAGCCCAACGCAATGGGTTTATCTTGTATAGTTAAGAAGTTCTTATGACCGTCTTCCCGCTCCATCATCAGAACAGCTCCATGGTACCATTTCATTGTATAATAACTCAAAATACACCAATTTTGAGCTCAATCGGACATCGGGAAGTTGTTCTAATTTAGGTTGCGAAATTTGTGCCGAACACATACATACAAAACAAACATTGCAAGTAAAATAAAAGCTTGTAAAAATATAGTAAAGCCTGATTGAAAAGCTAATTTTTTTTGACAAATTCCAACATTTCTAACTCGTGGCCTTTCTTTTTTGTACATTATATATTTCTAAATATACGTTACTTATATTCCTAAATATTTGACAGCACGAATGGCTTTGTGCTTTAACCGGTCATCTCTCCGCTTCCTACTGCGCTGAGTGTTGTGGGTTCGATACCCACATGGGATAAAAATTTTATGATACGCAAACTGTTGTCCTGAGTCTAGGTGTTCTTTGTGTTCATTTCATGTACATACACAATATACACATAACATATCCTGTGTCGCGGGAGACGTTTTGTTTATCTTCTACCCAGGCACAGACCAAATGTACTCATTATACAATTTTTGGCTAAGTTGGAAATCGAACCTCTGGTTTAGCAGTTAGGATCACCACAATTGTAAACCAACAAGCCAGTCAGTATCTATGCTATTTAAAAAATGCAAGTTAATTTGTGTAATCTCATTCAAAACAATGCCACAAAATCTCTTTCATCATCACCATCAACAGCTTTTGTAAGCCCACTGCTGCACATAAGCTCTCCTTAGACAGGTCTTGCCCTACTGTACCACGCTGGCCAGACGAGTGGAAAATCTCTTAGTAAAAATAAAATAAAATGTTGTTTTACAGTATAATATCACGATCATTATTACATTCTTTCCGTTTTCCAAATACTTTTGGGGTCAGCGCAATCAGTTTTATTTATATTAATATTATTATTCCTTTGTCAAGTGTAAAAAATGGTAAGGTGATAAACATTTTCTTACAACAATCAAATCACTATACCAAAGAAAAGAGAATACTTCTGAATTGCAGGCGGTTATGGGCGACGGTAGTCACCTTCTATCAAGTCTGTATGCTCTATATGCTCACAGTACAGTACAGTTCTATCTGTATGCTCGTTTGCTCCCTCTTCCATAAAAAAAACTGTGACGAAGCAATTCTCTTCTAGCCCGCAAGGACCTCAATCTAACTTAACAGTCATGAAAAATAATATTTTCCAAAATTTTGGTAAATTGTGCTGGAGATTTTGATATATTCAATCCGTAAAAAGCTGTGCAACAGTAGATAGGAGACGACTCTTCGAAAAATCTAAAATTATCAGCAAACGAATAAGGTGATAAATAAATACATAGTGCAACATAGTATATATTGAAAGACTCCAAACCAAAAGTGAAGAAACTCTCGAAGACGGTGCGCCCTTATCAGCATTCATTATCCAGTCACGGTAAGCAGACACACGGGTGTACAAAGAAGTTTTGTCATAATTTTTTCCACTGACAACACCGACTAACACATCATCTTGTATTTCCCTTAATGGATCGGATTCTGAACACACTAAAGGACCACCAGAATCACCTCTGGCGACGTCCGTTACTGAAGTTTCTGAACACACGAAATTGTTCATATCCATCTCCCATAGTAAAGAACACTCAGATCTTGTCAGAACTGCAATTTGGGCCACGAGCAAAACTGGGGAGATAGCGTCACGAAGATCAGGCCCGACTCTGCCATACCCAGCAGCCGCACATTTACTATTATAATCCATACTTGCAGATGCCAGTTTTATGGGTTGGACTAGTTCAGTAAATGACCACCTTTCATCAACATGTCCAACGGCAAGATCATTATTTGGGAAGTGAAATTCTGGATGGATAATTACTTTTTTCAATTGTCTCCATTGTGCGTCATCGGTGGTCTCGGAATCTCCAGTGTGAATCAAACTGTTACGCAAGTTGCCTGCCACTACACGCAGCAGTTGAGGTCGTTTTGCAAAGTAGAAGTCGCTGGCTTCGAAGCAGTGGGCTGCAGTGAGGATGCGTGTTGCGTCAATGATACTTCCACCGCAAAGGTTCTTCCACGCCACTTTTCCTTCCTCGTACTTATGGACCGGTTCTTTCACGGAGACCAGGTATGGCACTTGGCCGTTGCCGGCTGGCTCCCCATTGACTATGGTAAGAGCAACATCAGGCCTACTTCTGGAGTGGTTCAGTGTTGTTACCACACGTCTGTCATAGTCGCATAATGTTGGTGGGAATATAAACGTGAAGATTAAGAGGACATTCATTAGAATTTCAGTCCTAAAAGTACGACAGGAAATTTAATAACCATATTCGAAGAAAAAGCACTTAAATTTTGCTATAATGCCTCTGACATTTCTTGTATTCTTTACTGTCATTTGTTAGGATATTGATGTATTTGTGGTGATTATAAACCTCTTTGTTCGTCTAGAGGAGTCTAAAAATAATAGTGATTTTAATAAGGTCTCTTTTCTAATATATTTTCGCTGGACATGATATAATAACGATTTATATTCTCATTACAACCTTCTTCTTGTCGATCCCTATCACAGTTATAGAGAGTCATTTTTTTGGAAAATGCTAAGCTTTGGATGTGTTTGTTGGTCAATTACATCAGAACGGCTGAACGGATTGGAATAAACTTTGGCACAGAGAAGATAGTCTAGAAAAAGTCGACTGCCTCAGTGGTGCAGTGGTAGCGTATGCGACTGCTGTGCTGAGATCTCAGATTCGATTCCCGGGTCGCACCAAATGTTTGTATGATCAGATCAGATGAGTTTTGGTATTTTATATATAAATAAAATTAGTACATACGCTACTTTCATCACAGGAAATTGATTCATAAAATCGACATTGACGCAAGCATAGCTAGCTATCTTTTTCGGTAAATTAGAATTTTGTGTCATATGCTTAGTATTCATTATTTCTGTGAATATTTCGCTATTTACTCTTAACACTTAAAAGTGGAAAACATTTGGTTGTGGTTTTTCATTAATTAATCGACATCTAAAAGACGGTTAAAGAGAGGAAGGTTTTGAGTTTTAACTATTCAACCGATCATCGTGAAGTTTTGCACACACTTTAGTAGAGACACAGCAAAAAGAAAATAATGATTTTTTAACGATTTAAATACTGGCAAAAAATCAACTTTTCACTTCTTTCGCGATTTAGCATGAACATTCGCTATCTCGTCAAATGTGACTTGGATGACTAGTAGAACCTTGCATAATTCATTTTTCGAGTAAGTACAACATTTTGAAATACTTTAAGTTTTACTATATAACTATAAACAGAATACAAGAATATAGATATTTTTATTATGTCATAGTGTTAAACGAGGATTAGAGGAAGGCGAGGTTTGGTCTTCGGCAGACATGGAAATTATTGCTACTTTTAAATCATATCCATTTAATGAAATAGTTGTTTTTGTCACAGGGATTTCACATGTGATTGTGATTTCGTCATAGACAAGGATAGACAGCATTAAAATCAATAAAAATTATTTTATCAAAGAATAATAATAATAAGTCGCAGGGGTTTCGTTAATCAGTTACAGGTGTGACCACATGATTTATAAATCATATGATTTATTACATGTGCTTGTGATTTTATTTCATTCCCTCCGGTAACTTCACTCACTCGTTGAAAAGCAACAAAAGAACTGCTTAACACCTGTTTTGGTGAGGCTGTGGAATCACTCCTATCGGGTCCCCTTTTTGGAAGTTCCGAATTTAAATAAAGATTTAAACTATTTATTTACGTACTTTTAGTTAAGAAGCTCGTTAGAATCTGACCTGAATTTACAAATATCATTTCTTATAATTACGATACTCTATAGCCGTTGTCCCATACAAGGTCTGAGCCTCAACAAACAGCCCATTCATTAAATCAAACAAAGATAAATGATTCACGAAGTACTTTCTAATTAAAGACCTCCCTTAGAACAAGTGGGTGACAATTTGTATAGAATTATAGTTAAATTATAATTGATAGCTTAGATTTCTTCTGCTTTTGTTACAGTAAGGTCAGATGGCGAACAGAATAATGATATACTGAAGATCGCCTGGTCGACCGTTTTCAATTCGACTGCACGGATGGCGTAGTGGTTTAGGCTGTTGTCACGCCGCTTATTACTACGCTAAGTGTTGTGGGCTCGATCCCCACATGGGACGACACTTTTTGTGACCCACAAATTGTTGTTCTGTGTCTGGGTGTCCTTGTGTCCGTTTCATGTATGTTTGTAAAGTCCCCCGCGATACAGGACTTATTCCCGAAGGGGAGTTGTGTTAAAAAAAATTGTATCTTATTTTATTTCATAACCAGTATTACTTGATATTTCATTTTAATAATATTAATAGCTTCAAATACTTCACACACGGCAGTCTGATCCCAAACTAGGCAGAGCCTACGCTATAGTAAACAGACTGCTGATAAACATACTTATATATTTCTAAATATATACGTATTATAGATAAATTAAACCCAGTCACAAAACAAATGATCATATGCTCATCACATAAATATTTGTTCTGGGTGGGAATCGAACCCACGACCTCCGACTTAGCTGACACAATGACTGGTCCTTGGTTGGTCCCTAGTAGTCACTAACTACTAGGGACCAACCAAGGACCAGTCATTGTATAGACTTTAGTACCTTAATAATAAACTAAACAAAATGTGTGTTGTGTTGCCGTGTTTAAATAGATTTTAACTTAATAGCACATTTTGTTAAAAAAAAATTGCTGTGTGCATTTCTACACTATGGCAACTTCCACATACAGTAAATCAAAAACATAGTTCAGTGCCATCTGAAATATCAGTTAATCCTGTATCGCGATATAAAAAGTTCTCATGCCTAACTTCCTAACATCAACTGTTGAGACGCGGCCCAATGTTACCATTTGGCCGCGTCTCAACATATTTTTACATTTTATGTAGTTATATTTACAGAAGAGCACATATACTCATTCACGGCAATAGCCCTGCAATTTGTGGGCATAGGCGTATCACAAGCCACTATTGTACCTGATATAAGAAAAATATAGTTGCTTCTAAGAATTTTCCAAAATTTAAAATCAAAAAGAAATTTCCAAGTCGGAATTCAAAATCACGCTTGCTTGTTTCCTTAGGTGAGGGATGGACCCTAGTCCATGAGATATGATGTGCTCATTTACAAATGTCCTATTCCTCTTAAAGACGGAATGTTTATTTTACAGTCACAAGTTTAAGGTAACGTTTTAGGAATTCATCATGTAATGTGACAAGGCCTAGAAAACTATTAATTTATATGCAAATTGATTTTAAAACTTTCAACTGATATGTAAATTAGAAACTTATATGTCAGACTGTCCTTATAATTTAATTGTTATCTTAATTACCGGTATGATATCTAGGGTCCAAAGACCTGTCTAAGACTATAAGTCCGAAGTGTCCAAATCTATGAGCATAGAGAATAGTCTCTTGCAGTCATGTTGACATTTTCTAATCATTTCTAACCATAATGACCGCAATTCTTCATGTTCACGATATTAGTTTTACTATCCATCCTACTACCATGTATGGCTGATAATATAAAACCTGTACTGCCTGAGTCAACAGAAGTCAACCATAAATTAGCTTCGTCAATTAACAGCAATTTCAAATATCCCAAATTGGCAATGGGAGAAAGTACGACTTTGGATATAAGCGAAAATTCTTCCTTTCTTAGTAATAAACAAATGTTGCAAAATCTAATTGAGGAAAATATTAATACTCGATTAAAAAAGATGACAATAAATTTATTCAATCTGATCATAAGGACAAAATACTTAAGGAAAACAAATATAGTGACAAACGAACTGAGATTGAAAATGAATCTAAACAATATAAGAAAGGTAAATCAAGTCAGGGACTACTAAAACACGTTAAAGTGCTACAGACTGAAAGTAACCTTAAATTTGAATGTGTATCTCTAGACAGTCATAAATTATTTGCAGTAATAGAAGAATATTACACTTTACCAATGATCGTAAGTGAAAATCAGCAACAAACCGCAGAAGCTGAGGACAAACTTAATTCACAGGTGATAAATGAATCTATTAACGACAAATCCAACAAAATCAAAGAAAAACATACACAGATAAGAGAAAATCAAATATTAAATAGTTCTACTGATGATAAATGGTATACAGAGACTCAAACAAATCACAAAAATACTATCAAATCCGAACAATTACATTTAAGGAAATCAAATTTTAAAAGACACATACAAACAGATGATCAAAAGATACAAATACCTAGTGAAGAATATTTTAAATGGCCGACGTGGATAGAACAAAGTGATACTGTGTCGTTCTACAGAGGATCACACATACCCATAGACATTCCCCAATTCGAAGAACAAAGAGTATTTGAACCAGATGAAGACAATAGAATCATAACAACATTGATGCATTCCCAAATGCGTGTGGAGCCCAAAATTGTTCAGGGGACTGTTGCTCAGGCAAGGGACTTCCCATTTCTGGTGTCTTTAAAGAGAGTAGTTCAGAAGATTTCAAAAACAAGAATGTTATGGAAAAATTACTGCGGAGGGAGTATTATAAACTCCAATAAAGTAGTCACAGCTGCTCATTGCTTTGAAATGAACAAATACGACTACTACTATCACCCAAATAAATTACGCGTCGTTGCAGGCAATTTGACTAATAAATTATATCATTCAGGTGATTTTCCTTTTACCCGTTTATCATCTGAACTGGCTAACATTGACCCTTAGAAGCAAAACAGTGACTATGGTCACTATTGCACGTACTATAATTATAAATAATGAATCATTAAACACTGTTTTACAGGTAACACTTCAAATTCAAACCAAAATCAAGTGCGGCAAATCAAATTAGTAAAACTGCATCGCAATTTCAACTTTCCCACCAACGATATTGCTCTCGTGTTTGTTGACGAACCTTTTCGATTTAACAACCCAATGAGTGTAAACTTCATAGTCCCTGCAAAATATCATACCGACTATGCGAGGCAATGCTATGCAGCAGGATTTGGACAAACAGGGTCAAAACTGAAAAAGGACGGATCTGATCAATTACTATTTGCTGAGATAAACTTATTGCCCCGGCAAGAATGCAATAAAGTTTGGGAAATGAATATGATTACGTTTTTGTGCAGTCCGAACGTCTTTAAGGGAGTGAGTGGGGGAGACTCTGGTGGTCCCGTGGCTTGCTTTGAGTCGTTAGATCCTTCTTCAAAGTTAGGAAGTGGGAAGTTACTTGTTGGAATAGTTAGTGGGAGAAATTATGATAAGACGACTCTTTACACACGCGTTTCAGCATATCGAAAGTGGATTGACACAAATGGTTCGTGTGTACTTGAGTACAGAATAACAATTGTGTTTCTTGCTCTGATTAAAGGTTTTAAGACATTGTATGCTTGAATTTGTTTGTATATCCTTACATAGTTACCGACTAGCCTATTGATCTGGTGATCCTGACTGCTAAACCAGAGGTCGTGGGTTTGATTCCCAACCAAGACAAATATTATGTAATAAGTTCGATTTTTTGTTTTGTGTTCGGATAAGACAATAAATTATCTACATGCATGTATTAAGAATTTTATAAGCATGTTTATCACCAGCCATAACATAAACTCTGCCTAATATAGGATCAGAGAGCCATATTCGCCATGACAAATTCTCCTAAATACAATTTATTTTTATAGGTCATATACATATATATTATTATTTAGTACAGTCACCTAGTCAAAAAAAGGTATCAACCTCGGAATATAACGTAATGAGCTGAATATTTGTACAAACCTTACAAACAGTTTACGCAAGAACGCTTCTGCAAATAGCTATGTTCGTAAGTATATATATTCCTGGTGCCAAGGTTGTCTTTTTTTATAAGCGATACATTATAACTGACAAAAATGGAACACAACAGTCCTAAACAAATACATATAAATTGCTTATACTTAAATTGTATATATAATATATATATGTATTTCTATGTATGTGTAATTATATAATGTATATTCATTTATTTTTACACTACGTAAGCTTCAATACACCTAGACTACCCACTGTTTTTTCTCATCTACTGTCGATTTGTCCATCCTGTAAGAGATTGCTATTAGCAATAAGGCCACCCATTGTACATATCCATCTGTAATATTTAACCAACTTACTGTAATTGGTGTACAATAAAGCATATTCTATTCTATTTATGTTCTGAATGCCAACTAATATTTTGAATAAGAAAATATGTAAGTACTTAACCGATCATCATGAAATTTTGCATTTATAAACGACTAGCTTTTGCCCGCGGCACCGCCCGCGTGTATGCCGGTTATTGCGGTAAACAGTAGCCTTCATCAAGAATCAAACTATCTGCATACCAAATTTAATCTGAAGCGGTTCAGCGGTTTAAGTGTGAAGATGTAACAGACAGATATACACTTTCGTATTTATAATATTAGTATGGATTGTCAAAAGCAAGAAAGAGAAGACAGGACCTGATGTATCTTTTATGCATAAAAAACCCTTTCCATTCCAACCAAATCTATATATTTATATATATATATATATATATATATATATATATGAGATTTCCACGTATATAGTCACTCATCACGATATCTCTTGAACCATTAGAGCTAAAGACTAGAAATTTGGTAGGAATATTCTTTTCACCGAGTAGAGGTCAGCTAAGAACGGATTTTAAGAAATTAAAAAAAAAATATTTTTTTTAAATAATGGAAATAATAAAACAACGTTTGCAGGGTCAGCTACTTATGAATAGAGCACAACGTAAGATTTAAGTGAAACAAATGGGTTACATAACGCAATTTGAGGATTATGTCTGACTCACCTTTTACGCTACGCTACCTCTATACATGATTTATCTAATCGATATCATTGCAAACTACTCTAATTTGACATATGAAAAACTGACATTATTCTTTTCCTGTAAATTATCTAATGGTATTACTGTACTCTTGCTGTTAATCCAGTTATTCCTTTCCCTATAACTGATGAACAAGTTACCCTAGATTCGTGATTATTTTCTTAGTATAGCTTAATCGAAACACCAGTCAGGGGGAACCCTGGCTGATTTATTAAATACAATGTGCGCAAATTAAAGTAACATGTTATCATCTAAATTATTAGTGTTGTACTTAATAATATCAGTGCAGACAGAAGAAGGATCAAAGAATGAAGATGCACGCATAATTACAACGTTAAATTATTCAAGATTTCGTGTGCAAACAACTAGTGTTCGCGGCCGAGTTGTGCCAAAGGGCCACTTCTCATACTTAGTGTCAATAAAACGGTCGTTTCAGAAAGTCTCGGAGACGAAGCATTTATGGAGTACTTACTGTGGAGGGAGCATAATTCACCCGACAAGAGTTCTGACTGCCGCTCATTGCTTTGATATGAAAAATTTCTATTATTTGACTCATTTTAGTTTATTACGTGCTGTCGCTGGCAGCACCGATAATCATATTGAACATCAAGGTAATATTTTCCATCCAGTCTCGTAGTTATACTATGTATATAATTCTTAGCAGAAAACAGCAGGCGTCGTTTTCCTAGTGTACTCTTTTACTTTTATGTAGACAGTTTCGTGATTAAGGGACTTATGAAGTAAATTAGTTATGTAGAGTCAGTAGGTATTATTAATATTTGCGAATTACATAATAAAGAGATGGAAATACTTTTTTATTTTGCTTAGAGTTGGAGTTTACTGATTTTTGGATATTGACGTTTTTGTCGATAAGTGTCTCTTAATATGGTAATTACCATTTATCTGAAGCCAAATTTCTAATGTTAATGTCTGTGATTTGACTTGATTAGTGTAGGTGTGAGGACCCAAAGCCCTGCGGTCTTAAATTTGTCTTCTGCGGGAAATCGAAATACCCACCTCGGTTCATCATTCTCATGTTTCCGTGGTTTACCAGAAGGTACAGAGTGTACAGTACTAAACCAGAAGGAAAATTCTCGTAATAAAAGTTCGGTTACAATAATTCAGTTCCGATCAACTTTCGATCTAACAAATAGTAAAGTACCTATTACTAATACTAGCAAATTACCGATTCAATTTTCGATTACAATACGATATAATCACATTACAGTCAACGTTGGGTGTTAAATACTATTCTACGAAAATACATTTTATGACAGTTGTGAGATCGAAAGTTGATCGAAACTGAGACCGAACTTTTATTACGAGAAATGGTCTTCATGTCATGAAATCTCAAAAAGAAAACGTTCCTTTCAGAATATTCCAGCCATAGGTATATGTAGATTCCGATATATCTAAGATAGATAACCGGTAATTTATCGTTAGTAGTGGTTTTGTTTCTTGCCTATGATGAATTGTCAATGTCAACGTCAGCGTCGTCATAATCACCATCGTTGTTGTGATCACCACCGTCCATGTTGTCACCGTCATCTCTGTCGACGTCACCGTCTTCATCACCTTCGATATCGTCGTCGGCATCAGTGTCATCTTTGCCACCTTGAAGCCAACAATAAGTAAACTGTAAACCAGTTTTAGTTTACTTTTTTTCCTATGTACTTTGTTTTGCCACCTTCAAGATAACGTTATAAATAGGTAGTTTTTACGTTGCACTTTTAAAGTTATTGTTGTTTTAATCAAGTATCGCTACCAAATAGTACCATAGGTCATCATTAACAGCCTTTAACAGTCCACTGCTGGCCACTCTTTAGAAATGAGGTTTTGGCCTACTATACAACGCTGGCCAGACGGGTTGGTACAGGGTTTGTGTCAAGTTTTTCTTCTCTTTGCAGTATTGTTGTCCTGCGTAGTTTGCTTCCTTAGTCAGCTCTTACGACATCCACGGGATGATTGGGGGTGGTGACAATCCGTATTCTTAATACGTCACCACACGGACAGGTACCTTAACAAATAAATGTCTAATTTATTCTTAATTATAGATAAAATTAATCTTAATCTTATAATTTCCAGGGTTCACTACAGATGAGAACGGCGTACAATGGCGGCAAATCACTGACGTTCAACTCCATTACGACTTTCATTTTCCAGTAAACGATATTGCTATAATAAACGTTGACATTCCTTTTGATTACAACAGAATTATTAGCTATTACAATGCTTATCAGAATAACCCAGACTATGAAGGAACTTGCTTTACAGCTGGATTTGGACAGATAGGCGTAGTCGCTAAAGAGAAAGTCTCGAAGGTTTTACTGTGGGCCGAAATACACCTTATAGCTAAAGAAAGATGTACAGCAATTTGGGGGATGAATATGGACAAATTTGTTTGCAGTGATACTATCGTCACTGATATATCTGGAGGGGATGCTGGAGGACCTTTGGTTTGTCCGTTAACCCACCGTAAAACGGTGAGGACTGATGATAACAGGAATTTCGTGTTGGTCGGTATTGCGAGTGGGAAGAACAGTGATAAAACTCGTCTCTACACCAGAGTTGCGGCGTACCAGAATTGGATAGATGAGCCTACGTATCGGACGTCGTGTGCTCGGCGGGTGAAGTATTATTCTGTTTGTTTGTTTTTAGTTCATATGTGGTTCATTAAATTTGTTTGTACGTGTTTTGACTGTATATATTTGCTGACAAACTTTTATAAATACCATAACTTACTTAAGAAACGAAAAGCTTTTGGCAATAGTGCTAAACCAACTATAACGTTATGCCGTTGTTACTTTCTGGAGTAGGGGTCATCTCTGGAATAGCAAACAGGTCACCCAGTAAGTGACTACCGCCAACCATAGATCTGCATCTCAAGAGTCGACTGCACGGTTGGCGTAGTAGCACTGCGCTGAGTGTTGTGTTAGGTCCCCACATTTGACAACACTATGTGCGTTTTTCCGAGCGATAACAAATTGATGTTCCGAGTCTGGTTTTTTTTTGTGTTCGTTTCATAAATGTTTGTTAAGACACCCGCCACACAGGATATATTCCCAGTGCGAGAGTTGTCTCTAGACAACTTTTCTGCCGCCGTTTGTTCTGACGCTCAGAGCGTAATAAGGTACCTCCTAAGAAAACGAAGTTTCTTTCGCTTTTTGGTAGACGTTTACTATATATATGAAATATGAAAAAGATGTGAGCCTCGACGCGCCAACTGAAGTGTCGGAAACAAGTTACACATTTTTCGGTCTCGTTTCCATCCGATCAGAGGGTGCAACGAAGAGATGCTTCTCAAAGAGTGAGTGATTTTACCATAGGCCCAACCTCTTTCTCTCCCCCCTAATTCTGGTGAGGGGAGAGGATACCAATTAGCTCACATGATGTACTGACGTTAAGTAGATTTCAAATGTAGACCTCAGCAATTTTTTTTTTACAAATAAAACACCAAAATATCTATAAAATATTTATTTAATCATCTTTAGACAATAAAGTTGTTTTATATAAAACTTAGCACGGCATTATATACCTTTTACGCACTACATTTATTTAATTAAAGCAACACTACTCCACGTATTGCGCTGTCTTCCATACGTTTATTGCGTTACATTGTCTTTTATGGCTTACGTATTAACATGAAGACGTCGTGGAATAGAGTCGAAATACATGTCAATTATTTAAAAAAACATGTTTTAATACAAAAACGCACTTTTACTACATAGTTAAATCTAAAGTCCTTTTAATGCAGTTTGAAGTCACTCTTAATCTTATTGATTCTTTTGTCTGGATTTTTAGTACACATACCTGATGTGTACTGAATATCCAGGCAAAAAAAAAAAAATTCTAGCTAACCCCGACGACTAGGTCCAGTTTGGTTGTTAGTAGTAGGCTAGTCGGTGTGTAATCGTGTTTGGACTACCGCCAAAATAAACAAAAGAAATTTTGTTTAATCTTTACGTTATGGAGGGTAGAGGCAAGGAGAACCATCTCTGTGTATAAAAAGTGTCCGTCAAAATGTGTTAAATTAGAGGCGCTAGGCGCATAAGCGAAAAATTTGTATTGGCTTAAATAATAATTAGACACTGTGTACTGGACTGCGAAAGTAGTCAATAAGATTTACAGACAATAAATAAACGTGTAATAACTTTCAGACAATAAAAGTGTTGTAATATTTGAACTCAGTACACTTCACTCCGTCTACAACAGCTATGCTCATATCGTAGTTTTTCGTACGCCAGCGACCTCTATTTTCAATCTACACCTGGAGACTTTTTCAACTTTCCCGCCATATCAAATAGTCCTCCTTGACTCTACCCTCTATACATATAATCTTTAAACAAAAACTAACTAACAATTTAACTATTTAACATATTTATAACTACCTAATAATTTCTATTATTTTCGTTTCTACTTTAGGATATGAAATTTGAATATATGACCAAATAATTTAGTTAAAAATTAAAAGCGATTATGGGTATATTATAATGAATTTATAAAAACTACTTTAATTAATGGGTAATAACTTACATCTACAACGCAAAGTGAAAACATTAGTGACTAAGAAATTCGTTAAATAATTTTTCGAACAAATGAGCAGTGGTTTAAAACAAAAACAATATTTTATCAAGTCAAACCTTTTCACTAAGAATAATAATAACTTGAGACATCTCACACACGGCCCGTACTATGCTAACCAGACTGCTGATAAACATACTAAATATATTTATTATATATATTTTCTATGTATGTATTTAGAAAAAACTATTGGTATTCCATCAGTCAATCTAGCTTTCATAGTACAAGCTCTGCTTAGTTTGAAACTAGATGGCATTGTGTGTCAGATATCTGAAAAATATTATATTACTACACACACGTATTATAGATAAGTTACATCCAGCAGCGGCGTGCACAGGATTATGACACTAGGTATGCGGCGGAGTAGTCGGTCACTTTTTCTTTTATAGATTTTTAGCACAAGTCTTAGATGTACTACTATTCATGTACATCTTCAACGAGAACGCAGACAAAACAGCGATAGATCGTCGCGGCGGAAGAAATTCTAATAAGTAAAATAATAGGCTAAAACTACTCACCATGCATCATGCTTCTTTGCTGCGGAATAGAAATTATTTAAATCTGAATATCCCGAATCAGTCCACACTGTACTAGAATTACTAAACAATATGCAAGGAAAACAATATAATTTAATCGTGTGTACACGACCACACAGCCAATTATACGTTTCATAACTTTTAACATGAAACTTGCGAGTTACATTTCCTTTTTGCTGGTTTAATTGTTGTAACTCGGGGACACACCTACCTTTAGACACAATTTTAATCTTTTCACTGAATGGCAATTGTGGGAACTTGTTATTTTTAATTTTTAATAGACATACATTATCCACACATAACTCACAATCAAATAACATTTTAAAAAAATCAACGGAACTCAGTAATAAACTGTTAAATGTACACACTTTCAAATAAAACTATAATTATACTGGCGGAAAGAAAATAGTAAACAATGCTTATCACATGAAAAAATCAAAATGGCCCCCGCGAACAAGAAACATATCTGCTAATTAAACAAATAAAACCTTACGATATTCAAAATTCATAATCCGCATACATGATTTATTATATTTCTGACTATTGTAATTGGGTGGATTTATAGGCAACGAACACTCGGGACCCGAACGGCCAACTGCAGTATCCTGCGGCTGTAGTCGGGGATATAAAATAAATGGGTGTGTGCGTTTGCGAACTGTGCACGGACACCAAAATTACTACACACATGCGAACAAATGTCCTGCGCGAGGCGACGGCATGAGTTGCTTTGCGCTTGCTTTTCGGTAAACACCTGGCAAACAATGTTTGTGTGGTGCTATTTTTAAATAGTAGGCGTTTTTAAGTTATTATATTTTGTTTCTTCATTTATTTACTATTAATTAAAGTCATCTAAAACGTACAAACGTTTTATTAAAATGTCTAAATGTCTGTGAATAGCAAGTAAAGCACTGCATTTCTGCCTACAAGGAGCGCACGCCCCTGACATCCAGACACAGAACCAATAATAGTGCTTATCACGCAATAATTTGTCCTGGGTGAGTAATGAACCCTTAGCCTTAGGCTTAGCCTTTAGAATCGCTTAGACAAACAGGGCAGTCAAACTAATTATTTTTTTTATTGAATTTTAACTTCAAATATTATTTTGCAACGAATTCATTGAAGAATCCGTAAACTCTCAAAAATATGTCCGTTACGAATCATCAGGTAGATTTGAAATGTTAAAGTAGAACTTAAAAATTATGGAGAGGTAGGTATTGGAAGACAATACATGTCCTAGTTAAACAAAGTGTGAATCTACTTTTTCCGGGACTAATCCCTCTCACTTGCCTACCATGTAACTCCTGTACACCAGGATCAGCAACACTGACCCACGAACTCACCAAGTAAGTCGGGAAGTCTCAGGAAAAATTAAACCCGCAACGAAATTAATCAGAAGAAAATTGGAGGAGTTGCTAATATAATAAATCCACTTCCCTCCTTAGCAAAACGGGAGACAAAATGAAGTAAAAATAGGGAATAAAACCCTTTTAAACTGGGAAGCACCAGGACACAAGATATTACGGGTCCTAAGTGATATTTGATTTCTATAATATGTATGGCAGAATCGCCAAACGCACGGAAATTCATCCTAGTTATCACAAGATCCACAGATGTCACCTATGACAGAAGTAACTAACTTTAAAAGAAATATTACCAACTTCAATGCGCCTACTATCATTAATTTTGTTTTAAGTTGAATTCAGTTAATAAGTAGTATTCTATCTGTTACCTTTTCACCCTTAGAGATGGAATATTTCTTTCAAGTTTAAACGGGACCAATCTTTACTAAATAAAGAATATTTCAAATAGGTTCATATGGTGATTTTTGAAATCAATTTGCTACACTTAGAGATAGATTAATTTTGTCAAACTTTAATGGATCCAGTCTAAGTATTAAAAAAAAAAAATTGCAATTGGTACACAAATAGCAAAGGTATTGTGTCCAATAATAGCGCTTAAGTTTCAGTGCACCAAAAGCGGAGCGTGTCTGAAACTAACACTTTTACTTAATAAACTTTACTGCTATAAATTAGTTTACGATATTCTGAATTCTTGAGCTCTTGAACAAATTTAGGGTCATAAAGCAGTGTATTTCTCTGGTTTAATACTATACTTAAAACAGATATTTTTACAGTTATTTTATCTTTTATTCGAATTTTATTGACTTACAAAAGAGGGATCTAATGCATTTCGTAAAAATGACTGTTCTTTTATTGCATTCCACAAATTAACATTTTTGTAACTTTAACAATAAAATTCATACGCCTATTGTAATAAGGGTAATATTTATATATTACTAAGTATACATATTTTAATCTATGCATTAGGCAATATTAAAAATATTTCAATTCCACATTTTTGTAGTGAGGTTACTCATAATTTCACGTCATAAGTACGTTACGTAAAGTTATTTTTATAATACGACTATATCTACATATAATTACACAGTTTTCAAAGGTTTTGTCGTGGTCTGTTACCAGTTGAAACTATAAAAAATAAGATACTATACAAAACCATTATAAAAGTTGTATCTAAAGTAGTGATGTGCCGGATCGTTAACAAAGTATATCCGCGGATACGGATCCGAATACGGATATTTGGTGTCAAGATCCGCGGATACGGATACGGATCTTAAGTTTCTTACTCAATCGGAGCCCGTGACCTTGATAGTTGTCGCCACTTGACGCTTTGCCGTTGATATTTAAATATTTCATTATTTTAATAAGCTAATACAAAGATGTTTGATTGATCTCATTATAAAGATAGCTCTTTCAGTACCTACGACCTGCCTAGTGGATTTAGTATAGTACGATAAATGATTGCAATACAAAGGTGCCAAATATTTGTTTTAAGAAATAAAAAGTAATCTGAACAGAATTCAATAGTTTTTCATAGCTACCTAATAACCATTATTCGGGGTTATTTTAAATTTACTGAAAACCTCTGAAGTGCATATTAGTAACATTATAAACAACAACTTTTCTTCTGGACTAACACCGAAAACGAAAGAAAAAAATTGTTTCTCCATACAAACTAACAACATTTGATTGATCATTTGAATGGAGGACCAATTTTTTTTCGTTTTGACGTTGGCCAGAAAAAAAGTTGCTGTTTATAGTGTTACAAACACATACCTAAGAGTTTTACAGTGAATACAAAATCACCTATATAGAATTTCATCTATGTATTGAAAGATCCGCCAAAAAAGTCACGGATACGGTTACGGATCTCTCTTCTCCCTTGGATATCCGCGGATACGGATACGGATATCCGGCAAATCACTAATCTAAAATAGCAACTTTTATTTCAAATGATATGATTTTCCCGCCGCTTTCCTAATTTTAGTTGTTTTGTTGCAAATAATAATAATAATATTTCGGACATATGACACGCAACGCCACCTAGTTTCAAACTAAGCAGAGCTAACTATGAAAGCTAGATTGACTGATAAAAAACTTATTTACTTTTTTTGTAAATATATACAATCATACGTAGAAAGCACCCAAGCGCTGAAACATGTATTTGTAGATCATAAAAACATTTTGTTTAACCCGGGAATCGAACCTGAGACCTGGCAGTCGCATACGCTACCAGCAGTCAAATAGTTTGACTATAAATACATATATTGTAGGGATCCACAGTTCTTAAGCAACTGTGGATCCCTACAATATATGTATGCTGTGGCTTGGATCCCTGGACTGGTGCGTAATGTGGGTTCCAGCTGATTGCAAGTAGGCTTGACTGCATGTTATCTGATGTTGCGCCCTCTCCCATGGGGGGTGTAGAGGGGCAGGTGTGCAGTCCGTACACTGTTGTACAGTACCTATTTTGTATTTTATTTTAGTTTCATAATTATCAGTACTAACCATAGCCGTTAATCGATAAAGTCAAACCGAGTTGGCTCAATAAAAAAAAAATAGACGTGTTGCCCCATTGCTCTCTCAGAATTAGGGGGAAGGTAGTCTTCTGTAACCACTAGATGAAAAGTAACGATTTGCTTAAAAACGCATTTCTGTGAGGCCGTGGTATCAATCCTGACGAGGCCCTGGCCCCATCATTCCTGGCTCAACAAAAAACAGGTGTCGAATCATAAAATGGTAGACTGAATTATGTATAAACAATGGTATTTGAAAGAAGATAGGTTATATTCACATCAGATCAATCAGTATTTGACGATATGAAGAGCCAAAACCACGTGACTACCTCATGATATTTTCAAACAGTAGTGATTGACGGGCCTGTTGGTCTAGTGGTTAGTGTACCTGACTGCTAAGCCAGAGGTCGTGGATTCGATTCCCATCCAGTGCTAATATTGTGTGATGAGCACGGTCATTTGTTCTATGAATGGGTCTGATATTTCTATTATATGTATGTATTTAAAAATATATAAGTATGTTTATCAGCAGTCTGGTTACCATAGCACAGGCTCTGTGCTCGTTTGGGATCAGACGGCCGTGTGTGAGATATATTATTATTCATACTGCACGCAAAAAGTACTTGTTCCGTGACACTAAACATACATCTATTAATGCATTTTAGAACGAAATATTACGCTACAAGTGCGATAGGAAATAAGGAAAGCATAAGAGTGAAAGAGACAACTATTTGTAATCAGTTCAGCGACGTAATACGTCTTGTATGTAAATAATATTATTGTTTATAAAATAATGAAAATGAAATGAATTTTTTTATACATAATGATAGTTGGTAGATCGTCTGATGTTTATACTATTTTCTATTGACATGCGAACAGATTCATTACCGTATATCTTTCTCCCTAATATTATAAAGAGGAAAGTTTGTATGGATATTGGTTACTCTTTCACGCAAAAACGGCTGCACGGATATTGATAAAATTTGGCACAGAGATAGATTATAGTCTGGAAAAGTACATGGGCTACTTTTTATCCTGATGTAATGTCCTCATGAGACGAACAAGGTACAACAACAACAACAGCTAGTTTTTTATGTTTGCTCCCTCTTTATGTAAAATAGTGAATACCACATTCATTTAACGATAATTATTAGTACACGAGGTTATGAGAAAAACGACATATACCTTAAAACTGTGTATTTACAATGATAATATTGAAAGTTATTGTATAAAGAACAAGTCTCAAAATAATTTGAAAAAATAAAATAAAACACTAAACAAGAAACTTATAAAATGAAAAATTCAAATGTCAATCAAATGTTAAAAGTAAAACATTCATGGTGAATTCCACAACGGACTGATTGCATTGTCTTTTATCGAGGAAATTATTCTTTGTGGAATCCATCTTGAATGAAACGATACATATACGATTGCAATGAAATAATATTGTATTAAACATATTAATAAAAGAAAAAATAATATTATTTAAAATGTGTCGATACTTAATAACTAACAATATTACCACACAATATTATATACTTTTATAATGATTGTTTTATCAAAATTAAAGTCTTTTAATGACAATATGCTTTAGCTTACATAACTATTCATACATCTATCTCTTTCGCACACGTTTTTGCTTTAAATATTTACTGTTCTCACAAAATTTGCATATTCAAAAAGTTTGGTATTATTAATAAAAAAAAACCAGACAATTTTATCTTTCAAAATAAGAATATTATTAACAACTTGCAGTAAAAATATATTTTGAAAATAATATTTTTAATTTCATAAGATTGATATAACAGTTTTAGTGAACTGGAGTAACTTTGAAACACATAGGTTTTCTATTATCCATAAATTACATTTATCGGCTATGGGATGTAGCAATACAAGAAAGTCTATATTCTTCCATAATGACTTCAACTTTTGGTTAATGGCTTTGTGGTAGAGTGTAACCACAATTTCGCCAATGTCACGTATTTGAAAGACTGTCAACTGTCAAAGGATTTTATGTAGAGCTGTGGTAGAGCCAAAAAAAAAATTTGAGAATGAAAGAATAAGAATGAATAAATTGTTATCTTTTACAGGCATGATAAAACTGAAACTAGTAAAATATATATACAGCTCCTCAGCTTCAGCTCAGCTTCCATAATGACACTCGAAAATTATTGTCTTCTGCTGTCACAAATGTCACAAGCAAAGTTTGACAGAGAGATTTCATAATCCTTTGAGTCATTGCCTATATATATTTATTAATTAAGACACCCTCCTAAATGTTAATTTACTGGCATTTAATACAGATAAATATTTTCATGTCAAATTTACCCCTCTCTTAAATTTACCCTAGCAATGTCAAATTTACCCCATAATTTAATCTCGTTAACCATAATGTCAAAGTTACCCCATTGTAAAGATTTCCTTATTATCTATTATAAAAGCTAGCGCGTCTATGGGAATGTGTTTTTTCACTTATCTTGCAGTTGCACGTAGTTCGCGGGGAATAAACCGTAGGCCCCTTTACATAAACCTTGCCACCAACCTTCGTCAATCTGGAAGATATTTACAGGATAAAAAGGATAAGGATTTGGGGTCGTCGTAACATTTTAAAGAGATTTGGCTGTTTTTTATTGTATACCCCGTCGCTACCCCTGTTTTAGGTTGTAATCATTTTCTGATAAGATAAAAACAGAAGATAAGCTAGGGTAAGATAAACAGTGATTGGACGTCACTAGGGATGCCAAGTGGTTAAACAAAAAGAAAGATGAACTCAATTTAAGCAGACACTGCATATACTGAATAGGGTATTTTATTGAGCAAGAGTAGGCTATGTGTCTTAACTGATCAGAGTAGTGATCAGACTGCAGTGACAGCCTCGGATTATCACGGGTTCGAATCCTATCCAACACTTACCATGACAATATTGGTGATTATATCATCAGGGTCGAAGGAAATCTCATCAGGCGCCGCCGCTTGGTAGTCGTACAAAGCCCGCGCTGTATATCCGTCTTCGTCATCTCCTTCCACCTCTCCTTCTCCTGCCATCTCGCTTTCCCACCCTACTGGGGAAACTACGATTGTGGGTTGGCGAGTCATCTGTAGAGAACATTCCATTTAATATTTAGTCGTACTGTCATTTTTCGTTGGTTTAGTTCAGTATGTACTACTTTGAGTCACTACGGCTATTTTAACGAGCACTTTTCAAATGAAGAAAAAATAAACTTCATTTTGAATGAGATAGAGCTCAAAATCGAAGGCCGGTGATCTGTGATGGCGAGTATATGCGTAAAACAAACTTATCGTTACATTCAAATATGTCTAAACGTATCTTAATAAATAAGTAGTGTGGTCGGAAGTGCCGATTGTTCAGAGCAAAATAACTCCTCTTCGAGTTATGATAAGACACATAATAGACTGCGCTAATACTATTACGTAATGGTGAATCGCCACTGATTTAATTAAATACTGTTGTGTTATGTTTTTTACGAGTCTCTATACTATATGTCCCTGGCTATCCCCTCCCCTCTCTACTAACCTCTTCTTTATCATCCTTCGGTTCACCGACTAACGTAACATCCGGCAAATTAGGTTGTTTTACTTCCTCTGACATCACGTGAGAGGCAGGAGTACTCTCTACTTCCGCAGGCTGAACTGGTGGTGTCTTGACCACTTCTGGTTGTTTGACAACCTCTGGCTGTCTGACTATCTCAGACTGTTTCGCAACTTCTGCCTGTCTGAATATTTCTGGCTGTTTAATAGGTGCTGGCGTATGGGCCACGGGTTCTGGTGACGGTTCTAGTGGAGACTCCTCAGATTTTTCTTTGGCTACGCGATCTTTTTCCTGTGATGAAAACAGTTTAATAAATTTAAAGCTGTAAGGGTCTGGACTTCAGGAGATGGATAATAAACGTTCTAAATAATATATTACATTGTATTTAGTATACTTTATAGTCGTAACACCGTACAACAAGATATTGAACTTTACTACGATAAAGATAAGGTTTTAAATCGAAAATCATCTAAAGCAATTCTGTTTGTTTAAAAGAGTTAGGTGCCAAGTAAAATTGTAGTTGTTAATTAAACCTTATATCGGTACAGTTAAGGTTTTAAATCGAAAACCACATCAAACGATTCTGTTTGTTAGAAACAGTTAGGTGGTAAATAAAAATTGTAGTTGTTACTTACCTTTTGTGACAAATCCTTATCATTTTGCTCCCTCTGTTGTCTAATTTTTTGGACAGAGTTTAACGCTTCCTGCAAAATCACATCATTTATTTTAATTAATTTGGTTGTACACAAGTTAAATTCCATTTAAATTCAAAGAAAATATTGTACATATTGATGAATGAAGAAAACTGGGAGTTGGTGCCAGTTTTCTAACAACCCCCCCTTCCCCCCCCCCCCCAGAAGTAGTTGCAGAAGTTTACTCACCTGTTCCTTCTCCTTGGCCATATTCTCAAACTTGGCCCGTATGTTGGAAGGCTTGGCACTTCCAATGTCGGGCTTCTGCTTTGTATAGTTCGTCCCAACTTTCTCCACCTCGTCAAACCTGTGAGCCGACTTATCCACTCTGTCTGTTTCGACACCAAATTTGCCGCCGAAACCCTGTTTAAAACATTATTTTTTGTTATTTTTTACATTAACAGTGTGAGTTCTAGCAAGAAATGACGTCACAAGTCGCTATTACACACAGAACGTAATTAACAAAGAAAAAGTAATTTGACATCTCAGTCAAAAAGGTCCTATGTTTTTGACCACTCACCTTTTTATGGTCAACTTGGCTGGCGTGTGCCGCAGTCTTCTCCTGATGGTCCCAGCCAAGAGCTGAGGCATCTTGTCTGTCTGTTTGTACGCCAAACTTGCCGCCGAAACCCAGAGCGTAATCTAAAAAATAAAGAAGACATGGAATGGTCGTGGTAGAGGAAGTAATTTCGTTTGTCACCCAGAACAATTAATTGAGTGTTGCGCACGAGTTTTTTTAAATCTAAGTATCTTATCTAAGTATCTTTGTATTTTAAGGAAACAATGTTTAGCTTGTTACACCATTCAGGAAAGGCTGGAACGATGTTTATGATGTTTAATTTTCTAGATTTGTCTCAACTTCGAATAGCAGAATAACTATTAAATTATTTGAAAAAATCACGGAAAAAGAAATGAAAGAGAATTAATTTTCTCATACACGGCTGAAGAGCAGAGCTGGGAACTACTTTTAATACACATATATAGGTACTGTTGGGTAACCTCTTCCACTAGAACCGTCAAATGCTACAAAATAAATAGCACAAAAATACCTTTTTGACTCTGATGATGCTGAGCATCTTCCCTATGGTCCCAGCCGACAGCGGAGGCGTCTTTCCTGTCGGCCTGCACACCGAACTTGCCGCCGAAGCCCACGGAGTAGTCCTTCTGTGAGGAATGCTTCTCAACTTGCTCCTTGTGCTCCCATCCTGCTGCACTCTATGGTATATCATAAATATTTATTCATCAAAGATACGCCAACAGCACACAAATACACCAAGTCAAACTATAACATAGAGAGTTCTTATATAGAACTATAAAAGCCATGCACAGTATACAGCCTACCAGAAAACCGGTGTTAAACAATTCTTACGTAGCTTTTCACCGAGCGAGTTTACGGGATCCCAAACCCCCTACTACTGGGAGGGAAGGGGGGATGGGATAATGTATGCATGTACTGGTAGTGGTTTAAGCGGTCACCTCGCCGCTTGCTACTGCGGTGAGTGTTGTACGTTCGATCCCCACAAAACTTTGTGTGATTCACAAATTGTTGTTTTGAGTCAGGTTGTTCTTTGTTTCCGTTACATGAATGCTTGTAAAGTCCCTTGTATAGATATATTGCTAGTATGAAGTTGTCTTTTTATGTTTATAGTTTTCTTTTTAAAGACAACTCCCTCATTAAATTTGAGTTCAGCTGAAAACTAGTGCTGTGGTCACTTTTAAGGGCCATAACAAATTCTGAGCTGTGGCTTTTTAGTCACACAATTAGATAATTTAATTGTTTCGTAATTGTTTGTTTTGTTATTGTTTGTCTAACCTATTCTATGTCTATTCTTTATTTTAGTGAAGTTTTTTATTATATAGGTATCCCTAATTATTATTTTTTGTGTGTTGTGGCTAATATTAGTAATAGTAATATAAACGTATTTTATTTCTTTTGATCCCACGCAATGTAATTTATCAGTTTTACTGGTTTGTAACATTCCTTTTAACACAAAATAAAAGTTTTTCACTGACCTTATCAACTCGGTCTGTTTGCACTCCGTACTTCCCTCCGAAGCCCTGAGCATAATCCGTTTGCGAGACATGCTTCTCAACTTTAGCGACGTAATCATGTCCTACCGCCGATTTGTCCATACGATCTGCTTGGACGCCATACTTACCACCAAAACCTGGTAGAATAAGAAATAAGGTGTTTTAACATAGGACTACGCTTTCTTCTGTAGGCCTCACAGAAAACCGGTGTTAAGCAATTCTTTCGTTGCCTTTCACTGACTGAGTGAGGTTACCGGAGCCCAAATCCCCCCCTCCCCTTGACTCGAGCGGGAGGGATTCTAGGGGCGGCAAAGCACTTGTGACTTTTGAGTTGCAGTTGCTTACTACCAGGTGACCCGTTGGCCGTCAAATAGTAGGTGGTGTATGGTGGTATTTAAGGAAGATACGTTATATTCATATTGCACGCACAAAATATTTGTTCCGTAACATTAAACATACATCTATTAATGCATTTTAAAACAAAATATTACGCTACAAGTGCGATAGGAAATAGGGAAAGCATAAGAGTGAAAGAGACAGGTATTTGTAATCAGTACAGCGACAGAAGGCATTTTATGATTTTTTCGAATTAATTAGTACGTGCGCGCGCTTTTCGTGGTCCTAATTAGGACCCTCACGTATTGTGCGTTGGTGGCGTATCTACCTATTGTATGTATATAATATCACTTGTGGTATGACACATATATGTGACTACTAGGTTAGATATAGATGATAGACCCACGTCCTTTTCTGTAGGTACGCCTGACAACGAACAAGCAATCATTCATGATGATCACCTAAGCAGTTAGAGCTTTTCAATCACGAAAAAAAACAATTATTATCCTTAATTTCATATTATTATAAACTCATGTTCGCTATTATAATATTAGAATAATAACAATATGGAAAAAAAGAAATATCCCGCCAAAATTATGAATGTCACTAAATGACATTTCTTCACAGAGTAATGTAAGTAAAATGTAGTTAAAAGTATGATGCCAACTGACAGCTGTCACTTTGTTCATCGGTTAATAACGTACCTACGTTAAAGCAATTCTAAGGGGGGTGTTAATAGGTGGTGGTAGTCACTCACCATCAGGTTACCCGCTTGCTCATTTGCCCCCTATACATTAAAAAAGCAGAAAAGGTATTCTTTATTTAAATCTTCTTTATCATCAAAAGCCTCTAGGCCTCTCCTTAGAAAGGAGGTTTTGGCCTACTATACCACGCTGGCCAGACGGGTTGGTATAGGATTTGTTTTAAGTTTTCCTTCTCATTTAAGTATTGTTGTCCTACGTAGTTTACTCCCTTAGTCGGCTCTTATCTTAATCTAATCCGTATTCGTAATTCGTCATCACACGGAATAATAAAAATCTCACCTTGCGCATAATCTTTCTGCGAAACGTGTTTTTCAGTTTTGCCGACGTAATCGTGCCCTACCGCCGATTTGTCCATACGATCTGCTTGGACGCCATATTTACCACCAAAACCTGGTAGAACAATACTGGTGGTAAGTGGAACAATAAGGTGCTGGAGTTGAATTGACCAACAAGCGCTCAAGGTGCCAGAGTTGAATTGACCAACAAGCGCGCAACGTGCTGGAGTTGAATTGACCAACAAGCGCGCAAGGTGCTGGAGTTGAATTGACCAACAAGCGCGCAACGTGCTGGAGTTGATTTGACCAACAAGTGCGCAACGTGCTGGAGTTAAATTGACTAACAAGCACGCAAGGTGCTAGAGTTGAATTGACCAACAAGCACGCAAGGTGCTAGAGTTGAATTGACCAACAAGCGCTCAAGGTGCTGGAGTTGAATTGACCAACAGGCACTCAAGGTGCTGGAGTTGAATTGACCAACAAGCGCTCAAGGTGCTGGAGTTGAATTGACCAACAAGCGCTCAAGGTGCTGGAGTTGAATTGACCAACAAGCGCGCAAGGTACTAGAGTGGACCGTGACATAACATACGTTACACATCGTATGCAAGTACTGTAAGGTGTTTTTTGTAGGTGATAGGTATCCTATGACTTGTGATGATCGGTTAAGCAGTTTATAATACTAGAATAATACAAATATAGAAAAATCTTTTGAAATATCCCACTAGTTAGGAATGTCACTAATGCTCACTACAGTATACAATACAAACACTAATGCACACTACAGTTCTTCACAGAGTAATGTCAGTAAAATGTCGTTAACAGTATGGTACAGCTGTCACTTTGTTCATCGGTTAATTACGTACGTTAAACCAATTCTAAGGGGGGTGTTAAGAGGTGGTGGCAGTCACTTACCATCAGGTGACCCGCTTGCTCATTTGCCCCCTATGCATTAAAAACCAAAAAAGGTATTCCTTATTTGAATCTTCTTTATCAACATCATCAACAGCCTTTGACAGTTCACTGCTGGACATAGGCCTCTCCTTAGAAAGGAGGTTTTGGCCTACTATATCACACTGGTCAAACGGCAACCCGTTTACCAACGTAAATGGTTCGTTTCAAGTTTTCCTTCTCATTTCAGTGTTGTTGTCCTGCATAGTTTGCTCCCTTGGTCGGCTGTTACAACACCCTCGGAATGAACAGGGGTAGTAACACTCCGTATTCGTAATGCGTCACCACACGGAATAATTAAAATCTCACCTTGCGCATAATCTTTCTGCGAAACGTGTTTTTCAGTTTTGCCGACGTAATCGTGTCCTACCGCCGATTTGTCCATACGATCCTGTTGTACCCCGAATTTCCCGCCATATCTGGTGAAATTAACTTCGGAGTTTAAATAATCTATTTTCGTATTCGTTCGTACGATGCATAGCATATCTACACAAATAAATAAAATTGAAGTGTCTGTTTGTAATGTAAAAATAGGTTTTTTTTTCATGATCACACAGTTATATGCACGATACCTATGCCTAAAAACCAGTTAAAAAATTTCTTGTCTGTCTGTTTGTGCCGGCTAATCTTAAACGGCTTGACCGATTTTGATATTTTACTACCAGGTAAATGTCTATATAGAAAGTAACTTAGGCTATATTTCCTCTCAGAAAAAAACCCTTTCAAATTTTGCCCGGTCCAGGAATCGAACCCACTAAGTCAGCGCTCTAGTCTACTCTAAGTCTACCAGCCAGTGCGTCTATAATTGTAGTATATAAGTAAGTAATCTTAGTTTTTTAGTATTATAATTAAAATTTAGAATATGAATTAGGAATTATTAACTACAGATATATACTAAATGTACTCCAGCCAGTGTCTGACTCGCCTGTCTTCTGTAGGGTTAATTCAAATTGATATATGCTGTACCGAATACTATAATGCAAGCATTTGCTTAACAAACTAAGAAAGATAATTTATCATAAACACACCCAAATGACGACTTAGGTCCAGCTTCGTACTGTTTCTTCTTTGCCTGTGTGTCTGCTTCCAATACCTCTTCTCTTAGTTTGGCCATACTAAAAAAAAATACATAATAATCAGAAAACATACAATAAAACCAGTCGTGAGTGGAAGGATATTTGTTAAAGTTCGTGTCTTAGCTAGGCTACGGTCAAATAAAAACTTCGTTTATAAAATACTCAATAATACTTTATTGAGTAATAGACCGTAAATAATAACTGTATGCGCAGTCGCAGCTGGTTAGAAGCCGAGTGCCGGCGGCGATCCTCATTCGCGATGTCCCTCGCTGCGCCCCGCACGTCGCATCCTGCCCCGGACAGTCCCGGCCGTGGGTGCGCGTAGACAATATTTATTTCATCATTTTATAAATGGTTTTTGTGTTTCGCGGATGCTTACTACTACTTGTGCGAGATATTTTTTTTGTACTATGGAAAATACGTGAGGCAATCACGTTGAACAGAGCCAAGTAACAACAGAGACAGAGTGGGCACTCGCGGCTTGCATGTTAACTTACGACCCAAGAGACAGAACCGGTCTCCAAAAGTGACACAGTCAGTTTTAGTGTGAACCAGATCCAGGGGTTCGTTAACCGCTGCCTTTGCCGAATTCTCGGGGTATACTGGCCCGAGAAGATCTCCAATGAAGATCTGTTGGAACGCTGCCACAAATCACCGATCTAATTCCAGATCAACGTAGGGACCCCGAGCATATCGCCAAACAGGCACTGGAAACCCCCAAGGAAACGAAAGCGTGGCCGCCCAAAGCAAACTTGGCGGCGCACTGTCGCAGATGAGGTGAAAAGAATCGGCAAGACGTGGAGTGAGGTCAGGTGCGAAGCTCGGGACCGAACGCCGATGGAGGACTACTGTGGACGCCCTCTGTTCCATCTCGGGGACTTAGGATATTAATTAAATAAATATATTACAAATAAATAAATAATAAATTATAAAAATAATAAATTATAAATCAAAGTAAGTCAAGACGGTGTCCATTAGCAATATGTACTGAGCATAAAAGCTGTTATTTCTAGAAAAAATCAATTGCTATAGAAAAGTTTGAATCTAAATTCAACCTTAGCTTTTATCTCTATAATAATGTTCTGTACGCCTGAATAATATTTGTAAAATGTTTGATCATATTTATTGAACTAACAAACAGGAAAACAGAGCTACACATTTAATAACCTCGTTGAGTATTAGCAATGCAAGTGCCTGATATATTATACAATATTAGTACGGTATGGCCTGCTATAGCATAGGCCCGATCAAAGCCCTACCTATTCTTTCAACATGCACAACTGGAGATTAGTACTTTTCCTAGAAGTACTTTCTAAATATTATAGGCAAAAAAAAATCTAAATAGGAAATTCTAATAATTATTATATAATTAAAATCTAAATAGGAAAAAAATCTAAATGGATAAAGATGAATAAAAGATGGATAATTATGGTCGAATTTCGACTGACAGGTGATCTCTAGTTTGTTTTAATATACCATTAGACAAAGAAACAAGCCTTGTGAAAATTACATTGGGCTAACAATGTACATAAACAATAACAAAAGACATTTCTACATGATATGACACATCAGACATCACCCACTCACTTCCCTTTGATGATACACATTCTTCCTTTTGAACATAAAGGTGCTCATACATTTGAGTGATCACTTGTCACTGTTCTCGAATGCTCGATGTTCTACCGAATATTGAGCATACGCCGCTTTTAAATTTGTCGATTGAGGAAATAGTCAACTTGTGAAACCATATCAAATGCTGATTTTTTGATAAAATAAGTTATATTTTAGAATAAATTCTATTAAAAATGATCAGTCTTACTCTATAGCTTCAACATTTCTTCCAGCAGGTCCCCATCTCTGTTCTTGCTCTGTAACATCATTAACAAAGTCAGGATCTGTCTCCCAATCATCAGCCTCTGCCAATGCTGGCGGCTTCACGTCAGTTGCAGCCTTCCACATCTGGAATAGACATATATATTTTTACACTTACATACCTACTTAACTACAATGGAAACTTCGATGTTGTTGGTCTATTACAGAATACGGTTACATTTTAATCGACAGTTTATATGTGTTTCCTTAGAATGAAGGAGACTTACTTCAATACTCCTGGAAGTTCTGATTTAGCTATAAAACAACCTCTAAAAGCCTACTCCAAGACCCTGTGGGTGACAAAATCCAAATATAGAGTAAGAAAGAGGCACTATGTATCTAGATTATGCCTATACATCCTTCTTCTTAAATAAGTTTCTTTGTTTCCTTGACAGGCCTGTTGGTCTAGTGGTTAGTGGCCCTAACTGCTAAGCCAGAGGTTGTGGATTCTATTGCCAACTCAGACAAATAATTGTATAATGAGCATGATCTGTTTGCGTGTTATTTATATATAATATGTATGTACTTAGAAATAAATAAGTATGTTAAAGCAGTCTGGTTACCATTAAAGTAAATTTTTATTTAATGTTTGAGGGGGCAGATGAGCAGACAGGTCACCTGATGAAAAGTGACCATCGCCGTCCATGAACATCTGCAACTCAAGAGTCACAAACGCATTGCCAGCATTTTAAACAATTAAATTCATTCACATATAGACACATCTGACCATTACAACTCATTTTTAGTACCCATATATCTATAATGTGAAATGGAAATGTCAATTTATATTTTGTCTATATCTACTAGCGTATGTGTAGGTTTTTTAAGTTAGGAAAAACATATTTTAATAAATATTTTAGAATAATAATAAAGTTATTTTTATAAGTTTTCAAAATTTATAACAAAATTGTAGATGTTTGGTTAACAATGAGACTTGGAACTGTTAATTGTTTTTTTTCTAAATAAAACTTTTATATCAACAGATAGTCACTGTAAAAATAGGGTTGTTTTAATAACATAATATAATCTCTGCCAGTTCATTTTTTAACACCTGTTTCCAAATTATAGAGCCTTGTATAAACAATCAAGCAAATAAATCATGGGAACTTATTTGTACAAAGACCTGTATTAGTTCTATTAATATTTTATTTACATTCGTATTTATAGGACAAATATCCACATCAATTTCCTCAAACTTGCATAATTAGAAATAAAATATTTATCCCTGAACAAAACAGCAACAAAACCAACCTTCTATAATTAAAAAACAAAATTGGCAATGATTACATCACAAATACTATCAGTCGTAAAACAACGGATTATCTATTACTATCTTGAAATGAGATTTGATATAGACTTCTGAGTAATGTTCACCAACTATATATTATTTATTGAAGTATTTAGGCAGTTATCTGTTTTTAGGTTAAAATTTTAGGTCTACAGGCGACATTTCCGTTTTTATAATACCATTTTATAGCTACTATAAACAAATATTAGAAAAGGAAAGTGAAATCTTACCTTTCTTATGAGCCGGTTCTTCAATTAGTTAGACGACCACTGTTTTTAATTCGCACTAATAAGATGCGCACATGACAGTTCACGAGTATTACTTTTTTTATATCAAGAAAAGGTGCCCTTACAATATAATAACAATACAACACAGCTGTAGTTTAATTTCGATTAAATTTCTAATGTTTAAGGGCGATAGCCCGCGATGCGTCACAAGAAAGTGTATTCTACGTTGACAGCTACTGTCATAAATGTCACTTACGTTGTAACTCGTAACTTTTTTTGTGAGTTCATGTCTTGGTGACTTAATTTTTTAGAAAATTAAGGTTACCAAGTCTTTTTACTTTATTACCACTAGTTTAGACCCACTTTGCATTCCTTCCAAAAAGTCTGTGACATAAAATTGTACCTAGTTTCACTGCGTAAGAATTGTTAATAATTAGCGTGATTTTAATAAGCATGAGTTTTTTATTCATTATAGCGAGAAATTGATATTTTTTTGGGTGGTTTATATAGTGAAAAACATTTAACAAAAAATAGGTATAACAGATATAATTCCGGTATATCTTTTTTAAGGAAAATCGGTAGTTTCCTACAGCTATCGTCTCATTAAACATCACTTTCGTATAAAGCAAGTTCATGCAATTTCTAGTTTAGGCAGATATAATTTAAAAAGATATATACTATGTATTTATATATTTAAGGTATTTATTTTCTTTATCTAACATCACTCTTCTAAAACGAGGGGTATAACCAGTGTATCTGTCTGCATCATAGCTCCCGAACGGATGGCCTTATCCCGATGCGGATTTTTTTTATTCGAAAGTCGATGTGATAGAGATGGTTCTTAGCTATAAATTCTAAAGATCATCAACTCACTTCCTAGGTGATGAAGAGATCTCACTAAAATCCAGAGATCTGAAATTTGGTATACTGTTACTCTGATGGTATTTCCTCCTGGTCTAATGTAATAATTTATACACTGAAGCATAAAGGTTTAAAGGTGTTATAAAATCTCTTAAAACCCAATTAAAATGCTACTACTTTAATCAAAACATTAGAACAATTTTGAAAATATGACTTTGAAATGACGTCATTTATAGGTCACACAGATGTAAATATTCTCATTCATATGGCTATAATTCGTTCATATTCAAACCTAATTACTTATACCATTTTTTTGAGTCGCCATATGGTTTCGTTATTCATGCAGTTTTATTACTGCGCTCTTATAACTTCATGTCATATCTAGTTTCCCTTCATAACGTATAAACCTTTCGCCTTTTACTAAAGATTTTCGTGGAGAGGAACACTTAAATGAGTCTTCTGTACTCTGCTTTCTAAAAAGCATAAGCGGCATAAGCAGCATTCTTATAATAATCTATGATATCAACTAGAGGTCACATTTAAGTCATATGTTTTACGTAAAAGTTTTACGTCAGGAGGTATGAAATACATAGTCATATATGACTCATATGAGACATAGTAATATTACATCTTACGTAAAAGTTACATGACACAACATGATGTCATCCTGACGTAAATTTTACGTAAATGTCTTTACTGGGTGGTTCCGGTAACCTTACTGACTCGGTGAAATAGAACGAAAGAATTACTTATTATTTTTCTCAACTGCTGTATATAGGCCTCCCTGACAACAACCGGTCATGTACTGCCGGCATCCGTCCACTTAGTTTGACAGCGAAGTAGCGTTGAATTTCAAACGAACTTAGTATGAAGTTCGACGCTGTGGCAGCACTGCAGGTCACCGAACCACCTTGTTGTGGGGGCCCTACCCCTGCTCCGTCTTCTGGTACGTGGTTGGTATTTCTCCCGTCCGGTAGAGCGCTTGAAGAGGTATTAACTAAATCATATAATTGGGTCAAATATTTTAGAAAGAAAAGGAATAGAGTACTTGGCAATTGAGTATTAATATTTTTTTATAAAATATATAGATTATTATGAATTTAATATATTTTAATACAGTTGATTCATTCACAATACAGGTATCTATTAGAAATGTCATAAAAAGCTGTATTATATGGAACGTTTGTGATGTTGCCGTATCTCATATTTCACTGATTTAGCAATTATTTTATGCCTTAAATAAACATTATTTATAGCTTTGTCTCTGTCCTTTTTGTAGTGTTAAGTCAGTTCGTTAGTTCGGGTTGGAAAGACTTTTTTACGTGGGTTACAGGTAAAAATATTTTAATATTTCTAATACATTTGTGGAATGATCACAGTTATGGTCATTTGAAAGACAATAAAGATTTTAAGAAAACATTTACTTTCTCTATTACATGTCAGGTATCATAAACATTTTTATATTATATAATAGTCATATATTTTTTTATCTGTTTAACATATGTGTGTTTATTTATTTGACAACATATAATATTTATTAAAGTCTGTTTTTTAATCTCGTAGACTAAACTGACATTACGAGTGTTGTCAGTTTATTGCAATTCTTAAATAGTGATGTGGCACAACCGAAACTTAGCGTTAATAAAATCAAGTATCGTTTTTTACAATAAGTTATCCTGAAATAATGTGTTTATCCTGAAATAATGTGTAGGTACTTATTTAAAACGTAATAATACAACATTAATAATGTAAAACATATATTTTTAATTACATAAATTAATTACAGGTATTCGCGTTAATCTGATTCTGATAATGACTCCATGTCTGAGGAATATTCTGAATCATCAGAATCGCCACCTACTTCTATGATAAACCTATCAGTAATGTCGTCGGTTATATGGCCCAGATGACACATTTGATCTTCAATTTTAATTACATGGACTACACAGTCTTTCCACCGCTGCGGGGTCACTCGACGAAGCCCTTCTTCAAAAAGGCTTCGTACTTCATTCATTTTGAATGTTTTATTATTTTTAGCGACATGCCCCTTTACTTGAGCCCAGACCAACTCAATCGGGTTTAGCTCGCAGTGGTAAGGGGGCAGTCGCAAAATAGTGACACCCCGTTCAGCAGCCATCTCGTCGACGACATACCTTTCATGGGCTTATTTGTGCTTTCGGGCAATTTCATTTAATTCGGGCTTTAACATTGTCTCGTCATATGAAATATTTTTTGATTTTAGCCAATCTTGGATTTGCCCTTTTCCCCAACTAGAAGTAGGTAACGATGCCGGTTTCCTGGTGTGATATGGAGCATTATCTATTACAAGTATAATTTTTTTTCTTGTTTTATTTAAAGGCATCGAAACATGGTCGGATTACGCATGGCGTTGCGTGGTCAGATTTCCCTGGCAGTTTGTAGCACGTCGTGCAGCCGTGTGTGCGTACGTGCATTTTAAATATAAAACTTTGAATGAAAATTAAATTCGTCTATTATAAATAAAAAGTTACGATTCAACAAACCGGTATCGTAGGTACAACACTGCACAAAAGAGCTGGCAACATTATTTGTAAATTTGACATTTGCATGTGTCAATTTAGTCTACGAGATTAAAAAACAGACTGTTAAATTTTATAAAACATTTGTTTTTTTTATTACTGTGTATCATATAGTTTTATACCATTATTAATTATTATTAAGTTTATTCTCATTTTAAAATATGTATAAATATATTAAAATTAGCGATACGAATAATTTCTATTTTATATAAAAATAATATTTTTTAAGGGGTTTTTAAGACGAGGGTTTTGTACAATAATTTAGCTTCGATAAAGTTTTATTTATCTAAAAATGCATACCCATTATAGGCAAACTATGAAGAAAGGAAAGAAAGAAGCAGTTTATTTAAAACTAACTCTGAAAGCAGAAGCCTCAGTAGAAAACCTTATTCGTCTATTTCATCTGCTTGCTTTTCAATCGAATCAATCTTTTGTTTGCAATCGAAAATAATATTTGATATAACAAAAACTTTTAAAACAAAAAAAAAATACAGTCATCCGACTTATGACGGTGAATGAAATAGCGTGGTTAGTTTGATCTTAATACGAAAAAAGAGGTCTTATTCCCTATCAATTTCGTAGTCGTTCTGAGGGCTGAGTGCAAGTTTATTTTACATCGACTCGCTCTCGACGGCGAGCGCATTTAGCGTTGCGATTGGAGGCGATTTCAGAGCGAGCCAATCGTAGCGCCGAACGCGGCCACCGTAACGATCGAGTAGAAGTGAAATAAACTCGCACTTGGCCCTCTGAAACGTTAATCCTTAGATTGTGTAAGACAAATTAACATTATTAAGAAAAAAAAACTGCCAGGAGATTCGAAAACCTATAAAAACGAACGTCTTAATATCTACAAGTTTTAGACTAAAAAATTTAGATAGAAAAGATAGGTCTAGTTTTTAAAAAAAATCGCATAGAATCTGGTGTGTTATCTATCTGACTTAGGCAAGTGTAACACTGAATAACCACGTCCCCGTAAGTTTACTAACACGAAACATTTAATGACAACGACTGCAAGCTACCGCCAAAAACTTTAGGCCGCGCCATAGCGATCTTGAATAACCAAATCTCTAATTCACCAATCGGCAATTCAAAACTATACAGTAAATTTAAAAATTTCACCCTCTTAACTAGAAACATCTTTATATTTTGTGCATTTTTGCTCTTTTCAATAGTATTTGTACTGTTCTTAATTTTTTTCATGTTTCGCCTTATAAAAGGGTGTAACGTATGATAAAAAAACTTTAAAACTGCTATGAAAACCATAACTTTAAAGCATTCCATGTGTAGACATTTTTTCGTCATCAAAATAAAATATTTAACTGAATATCTACGAACAATATGCGAATGATGCGAATAAACGAAATACACTATTTAAAACATAAACCAGTTCAAATTGTTGGCTAGACTAGTGTGGCCAATGGAAATTTTTCGTTCGGTTCGTTCGTTCGGGTATCATTGAATACAAAAAGTTTAAGGGTCCATTTACCAGGCTATTATATTCATCCACCATTAATATCACTCCATTGATTTATGTATTCATGTTTGATAAATCTTAACGAAGCTACATTTGTTTTTTTTTAACACGCTTTTATTAGCTTAGTATTTGTGTCTGTATGTTGGTATGTAATGAATCTCCGAACGTGATTTTGACCCACTTCAAAACGTCGAATTAAAATGAAACTTCGCACACTTATCAAGGACCGATGACAATACAATAACTTGATAAATTTGACCGATTATCCTGATCAGGATATTCAGGATTAACGGATTTTACCATAATTAAAAATTTGGGAGTGTCTTTTGCTACGTGAGGCGTGTGCTGAAGCATATGTGATTTACTTACTTGTTATTTTTTTAGTCTTTATGAGAAAATAGTCATCATTAAAGACTAAAAAAGAAAAAAAAAAATTAGTTTAAAAAACTAAAAAGTTTTTGTAGCTAGCCGAGCTAAATAGTAGAAAATAAATTCTATAACTTCAAAAAGAAACGTAATTTTACTAGAAAATCATGGGTGCTTTTCAAGATATTTTATAGTATATTATAATAACTTTACTTTTACCAATATCTGTCAATAAAATATTTTTACAACAATTGAGCTCTAGCACCTGACGCACATTTTACTATAAAATGCTTTTTCTTTTTGAACTAATAGAAAACTATTTTCTACTTTTTAGTTCCGCTGGTTACAAAAACAATTTATTTTTTATTTTTTAAACCATAATTTATTTTTTTAGGATGCTACGATCACAACTGCCGTCATCACAAGGCTTTTAATAGTCCACTGCTGGACATAGGCCTCTCTTTAGAAAGAAGGTTTTAACCTCCTATACCACGTTGGCCAGACGGATTGGTATAGGGTTTGTGTCAAGTTTTCCTTCTCTTTGCAGTGCTGTTGTCCTGCGTAGTTTGCTGCCTTAGTCGGCTCTCACGACACCCATGGGATGAAAAGGTGTGATGACACTCTGTATTGATCTGATCAACTGGAAAAATCCCATCGGTAGTCTAGCCAACAATTTCACAAACAGGAAAGACCGACGTAAACAACATATTTTTGTCATCAAATCTGTTACCTAATTTGAATACAATAAAATTATAAATAGCTTGCTATCACAGAGAACACAAAAAGTAAAAAAGTATAAAACTTGTGTAGATTAAAAAAGAAAAACTTTTTTTATAGCTCTGGATCAGGAGCGTCGACAGCATATCCGCATTTTTGTAAAGCGGTTTTTATTTCACCGAAGACGGTTGGGTCTTCAATTGTGGATGGAAGTTTTATAAGTTGGCTTCTTGCTAATTTGGCGATGGCTCCTCGAAGAGCCTTTCCAGACCTCGTACGGGGTAGGGCTGGGACCGCAATTGCTTTTCTGAAAGCTGCTATGGGACCAATCAGGTGACGAACCAATGCAATCAGCTCTTGAGTCACTGTGCTTTCTGCTACTATTTCTTCGTCTGTGGACAAAGAATGTGGAATTTTAGGGTTTTTTTTGTATGTATTAAATATTCGACTGCACGGATGGCGTAGTGGTTTAAGCGGTCGGCACGCCGCTTACTACTACGTTGAGTGTTGTGGGTTCGATCTCCACATGGCAGGACACTTTGTGTGATCCACAAATTGTTGTTCTAAGTCTGGGTGTTCTTTGTGTCCGTTTCATGTATGTTTGTAAAGTAAGATACAGGATAAAATATATTCCTAATAAGGGAGATGTCTTTTCTTTTAAACAAAAAAAAAACAACGGTTTTCACTGTTGAAGGGAAGGAAGCATTGATAAATGTTTTTGTTATTCTTTTATCTAAGTTTCAATGTAACTCATGCCGATGTTGTGTTCATCAATTTCTGCCTGATATGGAACGTAATATTTTTTAACTTTAAAAAGTTATCGTTTTTATTAATCCTCAAAATATTCATATAGGAAATAGACAAGAAAATACACTGTTTTGAAAATGGTTGCATTTTCTTTTCGAAATTTATTATTTGATTATTAGTATGAGAATCACATGAAAATAGTTATTGGAATATAGGAATACTATCGCAGTCCACTGCTGGACATAGGCCTCTCCCATTGCACGGCACTTAGATCGATTTTGGGCTTCTCGCATCCAGCCCCTGCCAGCCATCTTGCGCAAATCGTCACTCCACCTGGCCTGTGGGCGTTCTACACTACGTTTGCCGAGACGCGGTCTCCACTCAAAATTACATTTTCTCTAATTAAATCAATAATCAGTTTTATTTATTTCAAGTAAAAGACACTTACTGTCTTGCGGAGGCCTCATCACGTAGAGACATAAAGGAACATCTCCCTTGGTAGGATCCGGTGCACCAACTACCACTGCGTCAGCAACTCTCGCGTGTCTTAGCACTACATCCTCTAGAGCCGCTGTTGAGAGTCGGTGGCCTGCCACATTGATGACGTCATCAGCCCTAGACACTACCCACACCGCACCCTCGGTGCTAATCCATCCTGCATCTTGCGTATCATAGTAACCCTGAAATATTATAGTAGTCTTGTTGAACTGGACTTTTTTGGCACGTTGGGTTTAAACATTCGAATTTTGAATTCAGAAGCATGGAGTATTCCTAGGAGACGCATAATTGTTACACTATTAAAAATAAAATAGATGGTTTAAACAGTGGACGTAATTTTTTTGTGATATTTCTTTTTCAACAAACCGGCCTCTTAGTGTTTTGGTTGTTGTTTGGCATGAAGGCTAGGAATACGAGGATGACTTACCGGATAAGACTCGAAATATGTTTCTTTATAACGAGAGTCGGCTTGCCACAGCGTGGACGCGAACCCAGGCGGCAAGGGCAGCTTCGCAACTAGCCTTCCCACTTCCCCTGCCTGACATTCTTGTCCATCTTCCCGCAGAGCCCGAACTACAATAAAATATATCTTAACTAAATAGTTATAAACACCATTAAAAAAAGTACATACATGTAAAATGTTGTTATTGTTATTTCATTTTATTTGATGGAGAAAAAGGTTAATTTTATTTTATTTACCGACAAAAATATTACCGTTACGGTTATGCTCAATAGTTCCGCTCAATAGTGCTCAATTGTTATGTTTAGAAACATATCGAAGAATATATTCGTGGTTAATATATAATTTATATTACAGGCAAAAATATATGAGAAAGGCTTTAAAAGTTCGCCAACGATTCCTTGAAAGTAAGCTCCAAGATATTCTGATATACAGTTAAGCTGTCCCTTTTAGTAAAATGGTACTTTGATGTTTAACGAATCTCGAGGTCTATTCTCCAGATTTCTGGCTAATAACACCTGCAATATTGGTAGTGTCCCTTACGCATGGCAACCCTATTACTCCTAGGATAAAGGTACATCCCTAAGCCATCGATTTCATTAAATACTTTGACTTTCTCCTGCCATTTTGGATTATTGAATCAATGAATTATTTCTACACCGAATGCTTTAGAATAATTGTAGCAAAGGTACCTGACCTTACCACGTAATTATTCAAATTAAAGCATACATTACTAAGTTATCGAACAGTGACAAAAACAGTTTAAATGTGAGTTTATGTATGACATTTACACGTTTAGAGTTCATACGACTCAACATCTTGTTTATATTTTATATGGATTACTTGCTTTTGCCTGTGGCTCCGCATCTCCGTGCCAAATTTCATCTAAAACGTTTCAGCGATTATTGATTCCCCATACAAACTTCCACCGCCCTTTTTGCCCCTTCAAAGGATGATTTCTGGGATAAAAACTATTCCATGTAATTTCTCAGGACCCAAACTATCTCTATACCAAATTTCATCTAAATCGGTGCAGCGGTTAGACATACAGACAGACACACTTTCGCATTTATAATATTATTATAGTATGGAAGTATGGATATTCTAAATATAGTACATATGTTTAGAAATATTTAAATATGTTTATCAGTGGTCTGGTTACCACAGCACAGGCTCTGAGTAGTTTGGAATATGTATGTAAACCTCCTTTCTAAGGAGAGGCCTATGTCCAGCAGTGGACTTTTATAGGCTGCTGATGCGATGTGATGTGAAGATATGTTGAGTTACTATGTTATCAACATATTAACTCAACATATCTTTACATCTTCATTAAAGTTAACTCATCATGTTGCCATTTTTCGTAAAACATATAAAGTTATATAATTCAATGTAGAATTTTTCAGTAGGAAATTCCAACGATTTTTATTCTAGAATAATGATTCAGTACGCTGTACCTTGTACTCGTATAGTAGAGTTCACCATTGTCTTTGGTTGAAAAAAAAAAATGTGTATGTGACAGGCGACTCATTTTCGAATTTCGAGCGAATGAAAAATAACAATTTTGTATTTTCACTCACCTTTGCGAATTCTAACCCTCTCTTTCTTTTGGAAACCCTGGTGGTTTTGAAACCCTAAATACAATCTAGGACTTTCTTTCCAAAATCTTTAGTAGAGGTAACATCCAATTTAAAGACTTAATCTGTCACTAATTTCGTCTACCGCTACATATATAAATAAAAAATATGGTACTCACTATCATATCCAGGTACTGCATACCCTGCAGAATGTGGTGGCACCGCCTTCACGCCGTATCCCAGACATGCGGCTGTAATCGGTGACCCTGATTCTGTCTGCCAATAGTGGTTCAGTACTGGGACACCAAAGATACGCTCGGCCCATTGCTTGAATACAAAGAAAACGAAAATTTGTTTACAGAAACATCAACAGCCTTTAATAGTTCATTGCTGGAAATAGACGTCTCCTTAGAAAGGAGGTTTTGGCCTACTATACCAAGCTGACCAGACGGGTTGGTATAGGGTTTGTTTAAAGTTTTCCTTCTCTTTGTAGTGCTGTTGTCCTACGAAGTTTGCTTCATTGGGATGATGAGACGTGGTGACACTCTGTATTCTTAACCATACTCTTAACACATACACTCATTCTTTTGCATAAGCCACTGTTTATCACACCACCAGTTAAACGTCGTCTCATTTTATTAGCCGCATAGAAAAAAGAAAACTTTTTAGTATAGACTAACAGAAACGTTAGAGAAATATTATAAAAAGAGAAGAGAAGGGAAATTTGAAAAATATTTGTATTAGTTTACTTTATAGTTTACCGATGGTCGAGATTACCAAAAACATCACTCAGACTGTGGAATGCAACAAATGAATTACTTAACACTGGTTTACTGGGAGGTTCCACGGGGTATTACTAGTAGAGGTACTAGGGTAGAGTTGGTCCATACGTGCCGGAGCATAGTCTTGCACGTTATCGGTTGAGAGGTTGACAGTTACAGACCTCCAAGAATGGTACGAGTGACCTGACTAGGAAATACGACCATTTAATAAACCATGAAGTTAATCACCCCACTTTTGTAGTAACTTGACTAGCGACTATCTGTGTGTATTTGCTAAGACAGACTAAAAACTTAACTAACTAAGCAGTTTTCAGCAGGCTCGAAGGACCATAAGGCCACGGCACTGAACACCCCGGTGTAGATCTCTCGTCTACATCATGCTTTATTATAGACAAATTCATGATGTTCAATTAATGAAGAGTTGTTTGACCCAAGACGAACGAATTCCATGCCACCAGAGAATGTGGATCGTTTAATAGTTTAAGGGGTATTTAAAAGGTGGTAGAAATCTTCCCCTTACTAGATTAATCTTTAAAGACCCGCGGGGCACATCTCTGGCTTATCATGGAGCATGTTATTAGGCGTATGATGTAAGTAGTTTTCTATGTCCTAAATGAATATTTTTTGCCGTTCAAGGACTTCAACTATATTATTTATTTTAATATTTTGAAGGAAACTAGCGCCGGCCCGATAAAATGAACATTCGTAACAATTGGTTAGATTCCTTAGGTCAGCTTTATTTAGCAAAACTTGGCAAATATATAAACTTCCTGAAATATCATGCAAATTGTTATGTAGTTTTAGATTAAAAAGTAAATGATTTGGCACAAGTTAGACGTAATCAAAGCTTTTTGCCTACGCCAAAGTCGTAAGGATTTTGGAAAGATTCAGACGTCTACCACAAAGCCATTAACCAAAAGTTGAAGTTGAAGTTGAAGATTCAGACGTACAATCCACGAGCAATTAGGGATAGGCCGTTACTCACCCGTATGTCTTGATCACAATGTTCACCAGCCATGAAGATAGTCTTCAAAGATTTGCTGCAATATCTCCTAGCGTACTTAGCGTTGGGATCGGCTCTCTTCAGAACTCGGCATGCCGTGGGGATTGTGAAGAGTGCATTGACTCGGTGCTGTTCAATAATTCTGAGAAATGTTTTTTTTATTGTAATACAATTTGATGCAATTCTATTTAATATTTAAGCAATAAAAAAAGGATATCTGCATAGATTGTTCTATTTATACCCAGTCTCTAATATCAATATTATGAAAGATTAGCTCGGTTGGTACATTTCTAAGTCCTTATTACGTAATGTATCTACATATGTATGTTTAAATCTAATTCTTACTTAGTCTTCAAATCACCCAGTGGTCTATTTATGCGTCTCAGAGTCATAAGTTATCAATTATCTGTTTATGTATTATACACTATGTATATTTATATTAAGAGTAAAATCACGTCATCACAGGATATTTTTTGGGATCATATCCATCTCCGTGAATCAACACTGAAATTTTAGAACAAACGGGGACTGCATGCTCAAAAAAATTTTATACTCGCATATAACTTTCAAATATTTAATTTATTGTTACCTGAAATATTGTCCCGGATCAGGAGTCCTGTCCGGCTTCCCTTCGTAAAGTACAGACGTTATTCCTGCAAGTAGGGGTCCATAGCAAATGTATGAGTGCCCAACCACCCATCCAAGGTCTGAAGCAGCCCACCACACTCCTTTTTTCAGGCCGTATACAGTTCGCATTGTCCAACAGAGTATTGCAGCATGGCCACAAGGTCTCTGGACGCCTTTTGGGGCGCTTGTAGTTCCTGTGATAAAAATAAATTTCTTTTATATGCCTTGCCATGGTCATGGGCTAATTTGCCCTCTATTGTTGAATTTATTTTTTAAAGACAACTCCTGCACTAGAAATATATTCTGTGTGGTGGGGGACTTTACAGACATACATGAAACGAACATAATGAACTCTCAGACTCAGAACAACGATTTATGGATTGTAGGGATGGAACCCACGACACTTAGTTCAGTAGGAAGTGGCGAGGTGAGCTCCTTAAATACTACGCCATCAGTGGTAAGTACACGGCGAAACTAAGTTACTAAATATAACGAACATTTATGGGTGTATGATGAACCTCTTTTCTTATTAAATTCACATCATCAGCCTTTAATAGTCCACTGCTGGACATAGGCCTCTCCTTAGAAAGGAGGTTTTGGCCTACTACACCACGCTGGCCAGACGGGTTGGTATTGGGTTTGTGTCAAGTTTTCCTTCTTTTTGCAGTGCTGGTGACCTGCGTTATTTTGCGCCCTTAGTCGGCTCTTACGACACCCACGGGATGAATTGGGGTAGTGACATTCCGTATTCTTAATCCGTCACTACACAGAGATTATTAAATTAGTGCACCTCTAAACTAGGCAGGCTGTGACCACGGCGAATGCAACCTGAAAGGTCTACGGTCACGATCTCTTGATTTAGGTAGATAGTTTATCAAACTTACATACTTTAATTACTGAACTGAAATTACTCAATGAAAATTTTATTAAGATCAGCTAGTCTATGATATGATGGTCTCCCTACACAATTAAATGAAATTCTGAGAATTTTCTCACCAGAAGTATACAATATATAAAGAGGTTCATTTGCTTCTACAGGAACGCAGGGTACAGGTTCCGCTTCCAAAGCTTCCTCCCAGGATATGTCCCTCCCTGGCTCCAAGACACATTCCAGTACCCTACGGCGCTGGTAGATGATACATTTCGTCGGCTGATGTCCTGACTGACAGAGTGCTTCGTCCAAGATGTCCTTGTATCTAAAGAAATCTTGTTTTTAATTACCATAAATTGATATTGTAATCTATTTATTACTATTGATGGAATGGAGTAGCAATAAGTAATGTTTTGAAGGGTTTTGGGTCTTTTTATGGTTGGCCGCCTGAATTAGGTAATAAAATCGGGTAGGGTGAAAAAGCTAAAGTAAGGAACTATTGTGAGCTTTTCGAGACACTTTTTGCTTCGTACAACTAATCTGTGTACCAAGTTATAGTCTGCGGTACCGATAAGACCTGCTTACCTTTAAGAAAACAGCGTACTCATTCCTAAAAAGCCAGCAACGCGTTTTTGACTCCTGAGTTGCAGACGCTCATGGGTGGCGATAGTCACTTTCTATCGGGTGACCCGTCTACTCCTCTGCCCCTTCTTACATAAAAAAGGGGTAGCACAAATCTCGGACAGGAAATGGGACTAAGACAGCAGTAGCTTGAAAAGGCTGATCTGAACCATTATATATTATGGTATTGCCTAAATAGCCTAAATATGGTATGTACATATTATGTATATTCAGGACCAACATACATAAATATATTCAGGACCATTAGCCACGGGACATTAACTACTAGGCAAAGATCTCCTTCACTGACTTGACTACCAAGAAGACCGATTGGTAATGGTCTGCATCTACCATTGACCTGTGGTCTTTATAAAATCATTTGACTTTGTGGTGGTCATCCAAAACTGCGAGTTGTTGAAATGTGTAAAAAAATAATCAATAATTAAAATGGCGGATTTTTGACGGCAAATTATATGTTCACAAAAATATTTTTTTCTAAATGTATCGGCAAGTACCAAAATAAAAGGTTTCATAAATGTTTACAAAAATATAAAAACGAGTGTGCTTTACACCACACGACTGAAGTAAAACTTCTTGGCTATGAGAGAAAGAGAGAAAGAAAATGTGTGCTCGCACTTCTCTCTCTTGCCCCTACAGTAATAAACGAAACGTAACCCTCCCCATTTTTCTATCTTCACTAACTTATATCTTCTTCTCAACTTCCGTTCGCCCCGCCCGATAACACTTTTCGTAATGCTCTCTTCACGCATTTCCCATCTTACTCCCCAAGTCAAGCGGGCGTAAAGAAGTTTTACTTCAATAATTTACCATTTATATATATTATTAAATATAATTTAAATGGTATTTGGTCAAGAAATACTAAAAAAAGATATTGAATATAATTGAATCTAGTAGTAGGTAAACGATTTTAACGCAGTCCGTTTTTTTTTGTCTTTTAAGGAATTAACTTGTTAATTCAACGTTTAAATAGGAATGTATGCCTGAAGTTATAACCTTTACCCCCATACATACATATCATTATACGAACGTAACACGTTGTGGACTACATTTTGATAATCAAGATTTGATTTCCTGATTGTAATTACTAATTAGTCACATGTCTGTAGTAGGCCAAAACCTCCTTTCTAAGGAGAGGCCTATGTCCAGCAGTGGACTAGTATAGGCTGTTGATGATGATGATGATGAACATGTCTGTACCTGACGATTTTATTAGGTTCTACTCCACAGCTGGCTGCAATAATTACTGTTGGCTCAGCATGCTCGATTCTGGTACGGAGCTCTCGAGCAGCGAAACCTATAGAAAAAAAATGTGTGTGCAATTCACACACACGGCAGAAGTGAAACTTCAGAAAAAAAAATCTATACAACTAAATAAAAATTGAAGTGTCTGTTTGTAATGTCAAAATAATAGGTTTTTTTTCATGCTCACACGGTTATTTGCACGATACCTATGCCTAAAAACTAATTTAAAATGTTTTTGTCTATCTGTCTGTTTGTTCCTGTTAATCTTCTAAGCGGCAGGACCGATTTTCATAATATTTTACTAACAAGTAGTTGTCTATATAAGGAGTAATTTAGGCTATTTTTTTTTATCTCAGAAAAACCCTATAAAATTTTGTCCGGTCCAGGAATCGAACCCATTATAGCAGCGTTTTCAAATTCAAACGCGAACGAAGTCGCTGGTACCAGCTAGTATTTAATAAAAAGATAAAAATAGTCAAAATATTATATAAAAATGTGTAATGTATTCTATCTCATTCTCTCGCCGATCTAATCCTATACATTTATGTGTTTGTTTCTTTATCGTGACGCATTTTCGTTTCATCGAGTTTCAAATTACAACGATTCTAAAAATAATAATTTGTCCTAGATAGGAATCGAACCCTCGACTTCTGGCTTAGCAGTCAGAACTACTGACCAACAGGGCAATGACTGAACGAATAACGACTTTTCCAAGTGACACAAATAGATCCTTCATCACGTAGTGCCTGGTGGCTTTGTGTCCTCACTGACTCGGTGAAAAGTAACGAAATTATAGCTTAACACCGGTTTTCTGTAAGGTGGGATCACTCCGGTCGAGCTGAATATAATAATTTTTAATATTTTGTCTAGTAGTTACCTATTAATGAATAAAGATAGATAGATAAATAATATAATTATATGTAGAATATGTTTATTTATGCTGGTTTTTTTCTAGAGTATTAAATTCTCACCTCCAAATACGACCGAGTGAATTGCTCCTATTCTGTTAGTCGCCAGCATTGCAAATATAGCCTCAGGAATTAGAGGCATATAGATGAGCACGCGGGATCCTCTCGTCACTCCGAGCTCTGCAAGTTTACCGGCCAGCCGAGACACCTTTAACAAAACGAATGTTCTAGAATTTTAAATGACGGGCCCGTAATTATTGGTGAGGGTGTAATTTATCTATAATACATATGTTTAGAAATATATAAGTATGTTTATCAGCAGTACGGTTACTATAGTACAGTCTCTGCCTAGTTTGGGATCAGACAGCCGCGTGTGAGATGTGTACAGTTACTATTTTTTATTTTTTTTGTTATTAATGTCTAAGTGACGTTACTTTACGTTTCTATTTTGTCTTATCTATGTCTTATTTATGATCAGAAGGGCCACCTGATGGAAAGTTACTACCACCGCCCATGAACGCCTGAGTTACAAGCACGTTGCTGGCCTATGAGGTGAGAGTACACTTTTTTCTTGAAGGCTTGATTTTTATTACGATACTCATGTATTAGAGGTGATCTGATGTGGTTAGTGGTACTCTTCAGTGGCTACTAGTTAACTCTTCGAGTTTTGATGGGTCTACGAGATTGGAATTGGTAACGATTGTTTGATGACAAAGCCAAAAGGTAAATAATGAAACGCTATGTTTCTTTTAAATTCGGTAAGCCATTAAAAATTGTCCCTAACTTGACAATTTATACTATTCAAATCTCGCCGCAAACCATATTTAGTAACTTAGTTAGAAAAACTTAATAGAAAACTAAACTTTTAATTATTTTTTCGCACAGGCCCGTCTTATCCTAGGCAGAGTCTTTCTATGTTAACCAGAGAGCTGATTAATGAATTATTAACTTAATCCATTGGGTCACAATTATTTAAACGCAGGTCAAACAATACATTTATTCATCAGCCGCCTGCTAAGTTTTTGCTAGCAAAGTTCAAGCGTGACAATAAAACAATGACTTAATACTGGAATGTTTTAGAATGTTCTAGAAGCTTCAATTGGTTAAAGATTTTTGCAAATAAGAATTTTACTTTTTAAATTTTGAAAGTAACTGTAACTTTTCGTGTCTGTAATGTACGAGTACAGCAATTCTTTTTTTGCTTTGCGTAAGTGAGATTAAAATGAAAATTCTAAAGATGGTAAGTGGGAGGGGGAAAGCACCAAACTAGTCCTTTGAGTGAAAAAAAAGTTCACTGTGATTAAAAAGACAACTACCGCATTAGGACTATACCCTGTGTCGCGGGGGACTTTACAAACATACATGAAACGGACACAAAGAACACCCAGACTCATAACAACAATTTGTGGATCACATAAAGTGTTGGGATGTTGGGATTAGCTGTTTTCAGACGCTATTTAACAGTAAATCTAGTAATTTTTAATTATTACGCAAGGAATGGTAGCTATATATAATAAAATAATTACTATATTTACTGTTAAATAGGCGAAACACGGTCCTTATGTATTGTCTGAAAACGGCTTATTGGTAACAACGCGTGAATAAGTAGCAAGCTTAACCTAAGTACGAAAAAATCGGTTGATAAATCCCATGTCTACAAAGGACAGCAATATCGCTTACCATCACATAAATCGTCTGTTTGTTTGTCCCCTCCCACATTTACATAATAGTAGGTATTCTTTTTGTTTACCTATAGTTTACATTATTAATAAGAATACATTAAAGTTCATTCACTGAGGTGGAATTAAATGTACGCGTTGGATTGTAATGTTGGGACACTTCAATATTTTATAATTCTGTTGTAACTCTTTAAAAAGACTCATCGCGATTATCAACAGCCTATATCAGACCACTGCTGGACATAGTCCTCTTCTTACAAAGGAGCTTTTGGCCTACTATATCACGCTTTCCAGACAAATTAGTATAGGGTTTGTGTCAAGTTATCCTTCACTTAGCAGTGTTGTTGACATCAGTGAAGATACTTTCACTGTGATTGTGTCTCCTTACACTAGACATAGGACAAAATCACAGTGAACTGTGAATGAACGGTCATTTGTCATTCGATTTTTTCGTACGAAAATTAGGGTATATAAATCTCAGTTCATTTACCTTACACCTCCGTATTCAGTTACCTTACTCATTCGGTATAACATACCGAAATACTCGTATATGCTTAATACCGGGTTGCGTTGAGACTCTGGTATCACTCCGGTAGAGCCAGTCTCTACAAAATTGTGCAACAAGATGACGTCACTAACCTGTTCTTTAACCTCGGAGTATGTGATCTTCCTGACTGTGTCAGTCAATGGAGAGTCATGGACTAACGCTAGCTGCTCTCCTTTGCCGGCTGCCACATGACGGTCTACTGCGTTGTGACACACTGACATTTCACCTCCTACCCACCTAAAAATAAACAGTAGATTAATATTACACTCATACTCCATCATCATCAGCCCATCGCAGTACACTGCTGGACATAGGCCTCTCCCATTGCACGCCACTTAGATCGATTTGGGGCTTCTCGCATCCAGCTCCTGCCAGCTATCTTGCGCAAATCGTCACTCCACCTGCCCTTAGGGCGTCCTACACTACGTTTTCGCGAGACGCGGTCTCCACTAAAGAACTCGTTTTCTCCAACGGTTGTCGGTTCTGCGGCTAACATGGCCAGCCCACTGCCACTTCAGCTTGCTGATCCGGTAGGCTAGCTCGATGACCTTGATTCTCTGCCGGATCACCTCATTCCTGATGCGATCCCTTAGGGAAACGCCGAGCACAGCCCTTTCCATAGCACGTTGAGCGACTTTGAGCTTGTGGACCAGCCGTACCATACTTCCATACTTATATTAAATGTGAAAGTGAATTTGCCTACGCCTAAACCACTAACGTAGTAACGTAGGCTACTTTTTACCGTGATTACCAACATACACGCGGGTAAAACATAGTATTACAATTATTACTGAAAGTTTCCTGTAGGAGATTGCAGACTGCGAAAAGCTGTTTTTACTACTGTACTGGGTGTATAAGACCCACACAGTACAGTACAGAACAAAAAAAAAAACATGTGGTGCAAAAAGAATATATATCTTCTTGAAGATTCTTTGTCCCCCTGTTTACCCAAATATAGCACACAGAAGCTTAATGAACCCTGAAGATGTCGTGACTGCGTTTAAAAAAGCGTGGAAGATATCCCTAAAAAAGACTGAGCTCACTGGTGTGGCCAATATTACAGTTACGAGCGGGGTATACAATAAATAAAAGTTGTCGGTTAATTGCTTTTATTGCACTGTATTTACAAACACTCAATACTACACACAAGAAATCACTATATAACTCGTTAGTCGCACTAGAAATTCACTTCGATGTTTATTCGCTGTGTCGTAAAATGATACTGTCCCGTACGGCCAACACGCGCCTTTTCTATAGTGCTATCGAAATTACTAGACTAATCCCGAAGATCCGATGAATGTTCCAGATAACACCAAGTACAATAAGGCAGCTACAAAATTTCTATAATCTTCTATATTAGATGGCACTGCAAGCAAGTATCGGAATTAAGAACCATAATCTCAATGCTCAGCGTTGTGCCCCACTTGATACTAGATGGCTCAGTCTTCCAGACACAACACAAGAACCACTCGTTCCTATGGCGCAACAGTACCATCACATGTGACGGTGCTTAGCAAGGAACGGAGACTACTTCTAAGAGCTATAAATATATTAACAGGCTTTTATATCATTCCGTTTATTCAAAGTGACCCCCGTATGCTAATCGGCGTAAAGAACTTTTCAGATCGCGATACAGAATTAGCAGTTATTCGTAGTTCGGTGTGTCTTCGTTAGATAGCACTGAAGTATGTTTTATTTCATTTTATGTGGAAGTCGGTACATCACGTTTGTGTAACCGACTTCTACTTGTTCGGACACTGATTCTAGGATGTCTTTCGCCATTAAATATCAATTGGTACACCCTATATGTAATCGGTTTAGTTTTAAAGGAGTTAATTATTTTTTACGAATATTTAGTCTAAGATAGGACTTGAACTCTCTTGCCACCAAAGAAAAACAGTCCGTCGCTAGTGATAAAATGAAATGAAATTTATTTTAAGAAGAAGAAGAAGTATTTGATATTATTGACACTAAAAAAAAACAGAATAGTCCGACATGCCACCTGTCGGTGGCATGTCGGACTCGAACCGACTAAAACCGCACGCCGTCTCGGGTACTAATAGCCGGGGAACCAGGTATACCCTAGAAAGGAAGTCCCTGGTGCGGAGGGCGCTCTACACTACGTCTGCTTAATCGCAAATGTTGTATAATAATAATAGTAAAGGTTAACAATTATCAAACTCATTCCAGTTTCTGATGTTACGGATCCTAAAAGTTGTTTTGTAGAGCAATCAAACCGCTCTCGCAAGTTCCGCCAGAAATGTCTCTTTGCTTCGTGGTTTTCAATTAGATCCTGTAGTTACTGAGATTAGTGTATTCAACTTTATAATATTAGTATAGATAAATTTATGCGTTCCCTTCGGTGACGGTTCTTCATACGGTACGGTTTTGAATATTCTATTTAAACGGATACAATAAACGCACTTTACATAAAGTTGAACTAATCTTTAAGTATTAAAGTTACTCACAGTAATTGACAAATGTCTATTTTGTACATGCAACTGATTCACATTAATCTAACATTTTAATTTCAGTTTGTTATAAATACTTGTTACGTAGGAATAGACCTTGACGTTTGACAGCTGATTGCGGAAAACGTTCAAGTTTAAGGCAGAAAATTCCAATGATTTTCGATTCATAATTATGGTCTGAATACACTATTTCAGTATTCGTCATACCGTCTCTTACAATCTTTTTTTATTCCCCTTGGAAATCCCCTCGGATACCACCCACCGGTGGTTGTGTCGAATTCCAACCGACAAAAACTGCACGCCGTCTCGGGTACCAGTTGCCGTGGAACCAGGTGTGGCCTAGGAAGGAAAACCCTGATGCTGTCCTTTGCACCCTGTATAGAAAATCAGTGGTTACAAGGTTTTTCCACTTACCATTTAGTAAAAGGTGGGTTGCTATTATCAATAACTCGCTCCCAAGGCTTGGTCCACTCTAACTCTTGTGCGACATGTCCCCAAAAATCTTCCGGGTCATCGAGAGAGCGGCGATGGGCTTCTAGGTACTCTGGGGTAACCCCGCTTTCTCCTGTTGAATGAAGTTTATACAAGTTTATTTATTTAACAAAAAAAAAAAAAGATGATAGTACAACACAACAACGGCTGTCTGCTTGTGTGTATGTGTGTGTCTGTTTATATGAATTCAATAAACTCCAAAAGTATAAAAAAATATTTTATTTACTCAGAGCTTTGCTGAGATGATAATTTTTAAATTATAGTCGCCTAAATGTGGGCATTTAATTCGCATCTATATAGCCCTTCTTGATTAAAGATACATTTTCTTTAATCCATTAACTCCTTTTTACCTTAAATAACGCTTTAAATACCTTTATGATGCACATTTGAAATAGGTCTCTGAAAGCCTGAGATTTGAAACACCAAGGCATTTTACCAATTTTCATACAAAATTATTTTCCGTGAAGCGTTTATGGTATTCAAAACTATTTTGTTTGAGCATTATTTCTCTCTCATAGTTGAAAATTAGTGCATGTATATATGTATAATACTAGTCAACCCAAGAAGATATTTCAGGAGTTCAAGAGTTCAGTTCATCAGTCTCCTGGTTGACTAGTATTATATTATCAGACAAAGTATAAAAGAATGACAAATTAGTGTGGCCAAAGTGCATTCTGTCTTAGTGAGGCGACATATTAATCTACTAAGAATATTTTAGATAGTGATGTTATAACATCCCCCTTCTTGAGTTAAAATTAACCCTTGACAGATAATGTTCTTGCAACTATGCTCACACTTTACAAATACCTAATTTAGACACTACTTTATACACATTTAATCAATATCTTCTATCAGCCTTCATGTTGGCTGTAAGCTCTACCATTAACGAGTAACCTTTTGACTTGAGGATTGAGATGAGGATTCTTGAGGTCTGGATTCCTGTCTATCCTCTCCCCTGAGACGAGTTGAATAGCATAGGAGGGTCTGCAATTTTACCGGAGTACTTGTGCCTTAAGTTAACTCTATTTCTCCTATACCTAGCTCCATTGACATCCTCACCGACATATAACAAGATCAAAGACTTTGTGTTCCTATTGTAATATTTGGACTTGATATTGACACGCTCTTTATAATCCTTAAATGTTTTCAATTTTATATAACATATGACATAGACATTATCTCTTAAATTTCTTGACATTAATAATACTGCAATAAAGCTATGTATGGATCAAAGGAATTTCCTTGACATTTTTTCTATAAATTTTTGACAATTTTTACAGAAGTTTCTGCTTGACCATTCGACTGTAGATGATATGGGCTAGTAACGAAATGTTCTATGTCCCATCCATGTAATTTTTTTTTTATCTATAGACTGGAAAGATTGGACGGCTGGTGGCAGATTATTTAGAGGAGCGTACCGTCGTGTTTGTAGTGTGTCGGTGTTCCGCAGGGGTCTGCTCTTGGACCCTCTTCTACGAAACATAGGGTACGCCTGGGCCCTTCGAGCTGATTTTTCCCCCGAGCTGGGTGTAATTTGTTACGCCGATGATACATTGGTTATAGCCCGGGGGCGGGGTCTCTCTGACGGTCGAACGCATTGAAGTGCTGGGCATACGGCTGGGCCATGGTTAAGACGGAGGCCCTCGGGCTTCATGGGCCCACTTATTTTTCCACACGTAAAAAAGTAGGTAATGCATTGCAAGAAAATCTTAACATCGGAATAGTACAACGCCATCTATCGAGTATTAGAGGCACAAATAAATGATGTATTGTCGTGAAGCAGTTTTAAACTAAATACCTAAACTAAACAGTGACAATTTATTAAGTAAAATTATCAAAATACATAAAATCAATACCAACACGCACATAAAAGACATTGTTCTACTAATTTTTTTTAAATTAGTTGACATTGACTTGGCCAATATAAAAACTATCTAGCTAATAATTAAACATTTATTGATACCTTGGTGACCTTATACATAGACTGAGGTGCTACTAGTTTAGAAACTTTAAACAATAAGTCTTTAATAACATGAATTTCAGCTTGAATTCGAGTATTCCAAAGTGAATTTATAAGTCGACTGACATTGCTTTACTTTTTGGCATCATAATAATATTTCATTAACAGTGCAAATTGTCATCTCTTTTAGTTCCCTGTAACAACTTTGGTTACAACATCTCGACTTTTGTCGGTTTTATAAATACCCCGCCTCGTAACCCACGGAAAAAGGATATCTATGTCCCAATAACTTCAAAATTGATAAAGTTAGATATGAATGTTGTGTATGAATAAATATATTGTAATTTAATTTTTAATGAGTAGTTTCATTGTATGAGAGGAACCTAACTAGTGTGTGTCTGTAGTGTGCGCGGCCCTTCTCCTTTCTCATCCTCGTCCCCTTCCCTTTCTTGTTACCCGTCGTATTCTTAGTGTTTGTTGTATATCCAGTGTATGTGTTATGTTGAGTATGGTATGTCTGGTGGTTGCGTTATGTTTGGCGATTGTTGCGAGCCAGGTGGTTGTAGGTCCTGTGACTGATGCATGTTTTGCGATTCCTGAGTATTTTGTGTGTGGTGGTCCTGTGTGTTGTGTATAAATACCCTATCTCCCAAAAATTCACTGAGTATAGTCACTGTGTGTATGGCTGCTTGTTGTTGAAGGATTGGTATGTCGATGTTGGCTTCTAATTTATCTATGTATTTCTTTATGCTTTTAGCGACTAATGCAGTTGCGCCTATAACTATTGGAATGACAGTCGTTTCTGTATTCCACAGGCGACTTTAGTTGACTTTAGTTTTCAACAGGTGGTATTTGCTCAATTTCTCAATAAAACAACTTTTTATAATATAATGCCGTGCTGGCTGGCTGTTATGGGTGGAGGGGAAAACCCGTCCCGTTAACCCGCGGCCACACTCAGGGCGGCATGAGGCGTTGGCAAGCGCGGATCCGCCGCCCGGTTCGTCGGCGGCGAATTGGGTACGAGTGGAGATCATCCTCAAGGGCCCTCTAAGCCCCCTACTTCTGAAACAAATTACGACCTATGGCAGACCATCAGAGTAGCCAGACGTAGTGCAGTACGTGTTAGTTTCACGTAATGAGGTGTGCAGAATTATTATTTCCTTTCATAAGTTATACTTTTACTCCTTGTAATTCGAACTTGCCGTTGCAAGAAGTCACAGTCAGCCTATAATACAATATTTTGGTTTTAGTTATGCCTGATGCCTTCCCCGTAGCTTGAGCTCCTACGGTTCGAAGCAATTTAAATAGTCTATATCTTACCATAGTATAAAATGAAATCACTTTCCGTTCTTGTGCGCTTAGATCATTCAAAATACACAACAGATTTTAATGTGGTTTTCATCAACAGAGAGAGTGAATGCAGAGAAAGGTTCATATGCATAATACATGCATATTAAAAAAGAAAAATCCGATAAAATCAAAGATTTTTGCACGCGTGCGAAGCCGAGGCGAATGGCTAGTAACTTATAAAAAAAGTATCACTGTCTTCAATGGGCCTATTCGTGATGAATTGTTTTAAACTATATTATATTTCAATTTTTTATTCTTTCTTAAATTATGATCTTTCTCAAACGAGAAGCACACCCAAAGTAAAGTAAGCTAAACCAAAGTATTTTTCAAATTACTTCTTAAATGACGATGTTATGAAGGAACAAATATAATTTTGGCTGTAGTTTGTAGGTATTTAAAGGATTTAATAATTTACTAACCTAATAATGGGTTGTTTCGTCTTCATCCCTACGTTATGTGTTTAGCTCATCCCTGTTTTTATTTTACACTCATCCCAGGAAATGTTATGTCTTAACTGATCACATTTTGTTTAATCTGCTATTCTTAACTCACAGACTTTTCTTATAAAAACATATTTTGTAAGTACAGTTTGCAAACAAAATTTAAAGGTACATTTACATATAATAAAAAATCAACACGTATATACATATACATGTATGTATATACGTATATAACTATACATATATCAATCAACATAGAAGTAAAAATAATTTCAAAATAAGAGGTCGATACAACACATATCACCCACCTTAGTGTAAAACCAAACTATTTTCGAACAGCGAAATAAGCATTTCTTTCTCATAAACCAGATTTAAAATAATATTATATACTTGTAATCGAGGAGCACTAGGATTAGCACACCTACTAGGTTTTACTTAACAAGGTGAAGTTACGTAGTTATTATTATTATTATCAATTCTGCCTCTTTCACTTTATCTGCGTTCGTGAACATTTGAACGTGTGAATACGTAGAAATTACATTGGTTTTAAAGTAAAGCTCATACCAAAATACGTGTTGGTATTCTTTTATATACTTTATAACTTTATTAAATAATTGAATTTGTAGATTGTATGATTGTAAACACAAAAAAAAAGCAATTTAATCAACTACTTTTAAGTAAATATAACTTTAAAGGTTATACAATTTGCTACGCCCAGCGCTCAGCAACGAAGTTTTGAATAACATCAAAAGCTTCAAGTTGGCTATCCATATTTTTTCAGTACTTTTTGCGTTGAGATGAGTTAAGAACAGTAATTGGGATGAGTTAAGAATAACAAATTAATTTTAAAGGTGGGATGAGTGCGGAATAAGCATTGATATAAGAATGGGATGAGATTCAATGGGATGAATACGAAAACACTAATAAATTAATGTTAGGTACCCAGGCATAAGACGCAACCTCTAGATAATACAGGACTGACTAGACCAGTTTAAATGAAACTATATTCAGTTTTCTTACCATTGACCGCCGCCCACACTGGTGCACCGTAGAGTGCCATAGAGCGCACAACCCCGTGTACCGTCGTCGTACAGATTAGGCAAAAGTCGCCCAAGAGCAGATGCGCACCAACCAGCTTTGGAGCAAGCTGTCGGTAGTACTCGTCGAAGAGCCACCTCCGGCCTGCACCGGTACGAGGACGGAGTTGAAAACGATTGAGGTGCCAGGGGAAGAACCACGACGGGGCCCATTAAATAAAAGGGCTTCCATCTTATCCAGGGCTACCAGTAAGCCCAGCGCCTCAATGCGAACGACCATCAGAGAAACCCCCTGGTGGCCAGGCGCGCCGCCACTTGAAAGTTCGCCCCCCGGGCTGTGACCAAAGTATCATCAGGAAATCAGCTCGAAATGCCCAGTCGTACCCCATGTTCCACAGGAGGGGTCCAAAAACAGATTCCTGTGGAACACTGCACGACATGGGCCGACACTTCGGAGTACCATCTCGGTCCTCGTAAACGGTATGCTCCTCTTAATAGTTTGCCACTAGCCGCCTCAGGGACTTTGGTACCTCATTAAAATGGAGTGCTTCCCTGATTTTTGTCCTGGTGGTGATGGGCCCACCATCGGAGCAATGAATTGTGTAAGTAATAGTAAACTGTTTTCTGCATTTCTTAATTTTCCACAATCAGGGGTTGTATTCATTAGAATGTCGAAACTAAAACTTTATTTTATACCTATACCTAACTATATGTAGAAGTCATATAACTGGAAGGTAAAGAAAAACGTTGGTTCTTAGTAGGTACATTTTTTGGAATATTATTAAAAAGTTTGAGTACCATAATCTGTGTATCACAGTTTGTACTGTTAAATGATTGTGCTGTAAACTACAACCAATCATTAAGATAACAGTCAAGGAGAGGAAAATAGGGAAATATTACTAAAGTATTTTACTCTTCTAGAAAAAAAAGTGAACTGAACGTTTTTCTGTAGTTGTTTATAACATAAACAAAATGAAGTTTCTAAAAAAAATCAAGGAAAGTTTTATAACTACTGTGATTTTGTGTTAATTAAATTTAAATTTCGACCCATTCTTACAATTTTTAGTTCACCTAAACATAATATTAGAAGCATAAATTAGAAAACGTCGTTGATTAGAACTTGGATATTACCTATTTGAACTATTTGAGCAATATTAATTACAAACAAAACATTCTACTGTAAATGTGGTTGTGTTATCTTCCTCTCTCCCAAACAAACTGTGCCGCGTCCGACAGGGTCCATAATTGTTGCCGCTTGAATTGTTATCATCCATGTATTTACATTTTGGAATGTTTTAATACCATGAAAAACATCGTCTATTTGTCATCTTCAAACAGATACGGTAAATAAGGAAATAGTTTTTATTTTCAATAATAGGTAACATAATATCTCTATGGAATGTCTCTTATCGAATCTCTATGGAATGTGATTAGTTCTCAATGGAACTGATTAAATAAAAAATACGATTAATGTTAATATTATAATTAATGTTTGTCCAAATAATGTCCACTTTGCTATTTATGCTGCAATACAGCCAAATATATTATAGGAAACCTGTACTTGTATAGTACCATATTTTAACTCAATTGAATGAATATTTTTAATAAATGTGACGTAATAGCTGCACAGCAATTCGAATTTAGGAGAAGGAGATCAACTCAGCATGATCAACAGTCTAGTTAGGTCAATAATAAACAATATTAATAATAAATTTCAATCCAGTGTCCGCTTTTTCAATTTAAGCAAAGCGTTTGACTTGGTAAACCATAGTATACTTATTGACAAGTTAGAGAAATATAGTATACGAGGTGTCGCGCTAAAATGGTTTCAATATTTTTTGAGTATCAGAAAACAAATCACACGAATGACCAAGTTGAATAATAAAACAAATAACTTAGAAAACTTTGATTCAGAGCCTAGATACAATTATCACGATGTGCCACAAGGGAGTATCTTGGGTCCCTTGTTATTTATAATTTACTTTAATGATTTCCCCAAGGCCATGTGCTTCGTTTGCGGATGATACTACAGTAACTATAGAATGTAACTATAAATATAACTGTGAAAAAAATAAACAATTTACTAAAAGATATTACTAAATGGCTAGATAAGAAAGAATTGTTCAAGCTAAGCATAAACAGTTCAATATTCAACCTTATAACCAAATAGTCAAACAAATACATAGCACAACAGTTTTAGGTGTAACAGTTAACGAACACCTTTAATGGAAGCAACATGTAGATGGTGTGTGCAAAGAAGTTAACAATTTTGTATTCGCTTTAAAAACGGTTAAAGACGTGGCTTGTAAGCCATCTTCATGATCAGTATACTATGCAAATATGTGCTCAATAATTCGATTTCGTGTTTTCATAGTTCAATAGAAATGTCTTCGGGCAATATTCAATATGCAGTGGTCGGAGAATCAGAAAGAATTTTAACGGTCCCTAGCATTTACGAGTATATCTTCGAAGTGGCGAAATTCGTTAACTGTAATATAAGATTGTTTGAAGGTAATGATAACACAAATAAGCTTAAAATTAACCAAAGCTATTTAAAAATGCCTGAACCTCGTTTAGAGATGGTCAGACAAGTTGTGTGTGTACATGGCACCACTTATTTACAATACCTGAAAAAATTGGAAACTTACCATACCATAAATTTTGTGTTGAACTAAAGAAATGGCTAATTGAACAGTGCTTTTATTCTGTTAAGGAATTCTTATAAAAATTCGCTACTCGGTCTTTTAATTTTAAAAATGCATTAACAACTACAAACTGAAAATTGTCTCTCGTTGCGTAAGTTTTATTTGTTTAACCTCCCTTCTAAATATTTGCATGCTATTTAATGACGACATGTGTCCTCTTCTCATTATTTAATTTACTTAACATCTTTTGTACCACATTTTATTCAAATAAACTTATTATTATTATTATTATAAATAAAAAGAAATAAATAAAAAATTGATACAAATTTAAGAATTAAATTTCTTGTTTTTTTTATTTAAATGTTATAACAATAAGTATAATTAAAAATATAAATTTGGATCAATGCCATCCAAACCCATAATGATTATAAGTTTATTAAAAAAAGAGACTCACCATAATTTTCAATTTCTGTAAATGACACGAAAGTTTTTTTCTTCAATTCACTGATGGAAGCCTCAAATTTATTCTTCTCCAATTTAGCCCCGACTTCATTCTCCTGATACATCTTTATATATAAAAACCTAAATATATAAACTTAAAATTAAATATTAGCTATCCGTGGCTCCTTGTAAAGATGCGGTAAGAAACTGCCTGAACGCCAAAGTAGCGTTGTTACACAATGTGCTTCTGTTTGCATATCAATGGAGGACCTATGAACCAATTGAATTATTTAACAGGGAGTGCTGAAAGTAACTCAAACATGCGCACTTAAATAAAGTGGAACTGTAACAAAAACTACACAATTAAGCTGTATATCGTTTGTGGTTCAACGCTCAAATAGGTGTGCGGAAATGATGAGTTCGATAGCTCATGCTTGCGTCGATATTGTTGAATAGATTTGTATACTATTCAATGATATTTTAAGGAAGATACGTTATAATCATAATGCACGCACAAAATATTTGTTCCGTAACTGTACACACATCTATAAATGCATTTTAGAACAAAACATAATAATACTACTAATAATCTTTATTGCATTTAAAATTACACTCACTGTTGAGGTACAATATCACATAGTATAAAATCTATATCAACATACACACTTACCCGTGGTATGATATTCATTTATCTTTATTTACCTTTTTGTCATAATTTGTGCAGTTTTGGAATACACAGGAAGGCATTTTATGAATTTTCTTGAATTAATTAGTACGTGCTCGCAGTGGCCCTAATTGGGACCCTCAAGTTTTGTGAGTTAGTGGCGTATCTACCTGTTGTTTGTATATAATATAGACAGAAAAATAAAGAATATCATTGATGCTATTGTTATTTATGGACTTAAAGTAATAATAATACCTCAAAGAAACGTGCAATGATTTAGAAAGTCACTATCAAAATTACTACATTGTAATTTCATCTATACAAATAAATAAAATTGAAGTGTCTAATGTCAAAATAGTAGATTTTTTCATGATCCGTGTGAGCATACCACGATACCTATGCTCGTTTAAATATTTTTAGTCTGTCTGTCTGTCTGTTTGTTCCGGGCAATCTTCAAAATGGCTCTACGGCTTTTGATAATAAACTCGGTTCCAAAAATAACGGGTCAGTCACATAAACCCGAATATCTCCCGAACTACGTATGCCATCCTAATGAAACGAAGACTGTTCAATCGAGAATTTAATTATACAGATAAAAAATAAAATAAAACTTAAATCTAAACTCTCTAACTCTTAACTTATCTCCAAATTAAAAAAAAACTAAAGTAGTCATATTTTTCTTAAGATTACATTTTTTATGATTGTTTTTTTGCTGTTTTTCATCACTTTCTTCATTTAATACTTTGTATTGCCTCCACGAGCTCTTCTGACAGCTGATTAGACATGCTGTACACCAAATTTCGGAGCCGGTATTGAGGAATACCTTCCCATCCCTCCACCAGTGCATGTTTAAGCTCGGGAAGCGTGGTTGGTGGGGGGTTTCGACCTTTCACGCATCTCTGAAGCTCGTCCCAGGCGTGCTCGATGGGGTTTAAGTCCGGGCTTCGCGCTGGCCACTGCATGAGTTCGATACCGACCTCTTCAAGGTAGTCATGTACAATTCTGGCGGTATGGGGACGCGCATTATCATGCATTAATATGCCATGCAGGTCCATCCTGGCCATGAAAGGACCTACATGTTCATTGAGGATCTCTTCCATGTACCTCTCTGCATTTAGAGTTCCATTTTGAATGAGTACCAGCTCGGTGCGGGCCTCAGTAGAAATCCCAGCCCAAACTTGTACGGAGCCTCCACCGTACGCCACTTTTTCCTCCACACACGCTTGATGGAAGCGCTCCCCTGGTCTTCTGTACACCAACTGCCTACCATCATGCTTATAAAGCCTGAATTTAGACTCGTCCGTGAACATTACCCTAGACCAATCGTCTAGTGTCCAGTTTAGGTGCTCGCGCACGTATCTCTGTCTTGCAATTCGATGTCCCCGTTCCAGTTTGGGGCCATTTGCGGGCCTCAATGGTTTCAAATTTGCTTCAGCAAGACGTCTTCTTACTGTTTGAGCGCTTAAATTGCCACCTCCAAAGCGAATAAAGTGAGTTTTTAGACCAATAGCAGTTTGAAAAAGATTTCGGAGCATTGTAGCCACCAGTTGTCTGTCTTCCCTGGCCGTTGTGCATCTTGGTCTGCCATTTCCTGGTCTTCTAAGGTGTGATCCGGTCTCGTGGTACCGCTGGACTACCCGCTGAATAGTCGACAAAGATACACCAATGTTTCTGGCTGTTTCACGCTGGCTCCGCCAAAGTTCCAAAAAAGTTAGGATTCTGGTACATTCCTCTAGCGTGACTGCCATGCTTCACCTCACAGAATAATAATTATGCACGTGGAAGACGTTCACGATAATTTTTTTTGTGACAGAATAGAAATGGAAAGCATCTATAATGAAATGAAACAAAAATTTTGTTTTTAAAAATAGTCATTTTTTTTTTAATTTTGTTTTCCTAATGAAGTTTTTTTCATCAACCAGTTTAAATAATATGCTATTAGAAGCGCAACTAAAAAGTCTTTATTCTGATTTTTATTTCATTGATCTAACTTTTACAGTTCTGGTATTTCAATTTTTGTGACTGACCCGTAATTTTTTGAACCGTAATTTTACTCGTACATAATCAGTAAGTTAGGCTATTTTTCCTTTCAGAAAAACACTAGAAAAATTTGCCCGGTCTAGGAATTGAACCCGAGGCCTCATGAACTTCAGTCGCGTGCCGTACTACACCACTCAGGTAAATTCCAAGGGAACGAAGTCGCGGGTACCAGCTATTTTTTTTATATAAACAGCTAACTGGAGGTAAAATTCAAAATCAGTCAAGCATTTTTAAAGGTTTCCCGGAACAAACAGACAGACAGACAAAAAATATAGAAACTGGTTTTTAGGCACCGGTATCATGCAAATAACCGCATGAGCATAAAGAAACCTATTATTTTGACCCTAGGTATGAGATCAAGAGTTGATCGGAACTGTACTTTTTATTACGAGGATTGGCATTCTGGCTCGTATGCCTCTAACTAGAGCTGGCTGTTGTTGAGTTGTCCAACCGTCGTTACCGCAGACACAACCTCAATAAAATACACACACCCACACAAACACACACACACACACACCACACACACACACACACACACACACACATTCCATGCATGTTGGTTAAATTTTATTTTGTGTATTATTATTTTATTATTATTATTTATTATTCTTATTTTTTTATTGATTTTCACCTTTAAATGAATTTTACAATCACTCCGTTCTGTGTAACGTATGCTAGATGTCTCGCTTTAAATATTGTATAATCACACAGTTCATACTAGTACGGCTGACAACGTTTACCATACCAATTAAAGCAAAAAAAAAAAAAAAACTTCGGTGACTGTAACTATCAAAACTTTAGTGATATGTAAGGTGTAAAATGTTTCTGGACTAATAAATTTATTATTATTATTATTATAATCTGCACAACAATGCCAACACAGGGTTACCACACACTTCAGCTATTTATTCTTTCCAATCAGTGAAAATAAATCTTCATCGTTTAGGATAATTCAAAAAAGACTTGTTTCGATTCGATTCTCGTTTCTGGTTGGCTACTATGTTAGAAAGAAATGGCAGTTTTTCTCTACAGCCACCTTAAACATCACACAACTCCACGCGGGACTACCTAGAGGACGAGAGTGACAAGGTACGTATGTAATAGGTCTTTACCTATGAAATTGACCAAAGCTGGTTGCAGATGTGACCACCAGACCTTGCACATACCGACTATTACTTTTTTCAAATTTTGACAACTTTTTAGTGGGTAAAAAATTCAATTCCCGAGAGGCAGTACAAAATGCCTTTGAAGAGTTTGTTGCCTCCCGTCCAGCTGATTTTTACAAGAAGGGCATCAATAAACTGCCAATGCGTTGGTAAAGATGCGTCGATCGCGTGGGTGATTACTTCGAATAACAGAAATAAAAGAGTTTGAAAAAATAAGTACTTTCACTTATTGCATACAAAACGGCAATTTCATAGGTAAAGACCTAATATTAAAAAAAAACTATGTATATTTTAAGTAAGATTTAATATGTATTCTATTATTAAGAAAGCGCAAGCAGTAGAAATCATATCTGTCCATACACTTACTTATAATGTTGTACACAAGTGGAGACTTGTCATTCGATGACACATTGTTATATCGATGTTATTTTAGCTGTAAGTCTTCCATGTTCGTTAAATAAATAAAATTTAAGTGTCTGTTTGTAATGTCAAAAATAGTTTTTTTTCATGCTAACACGGTTATTTGCACGATACCTGTGCCCAAAAACCAGTTTAAATATTTTTTGTCTGTCTGTTTGTCTGTCTGTCTTTTTGTTTCGGATAATCATCAAAAAAAGCTGGACCTATTTTGATAATAATTTACTACCAAGTAGCTGTCTGTATTAGGAGTGACTTAGGCCATTTTTTCTCTCAGAAAAACCCTATAAAATTTTGCCTGGTCCGGGAATCGAATAGTAGGTCGTAAGAGGCGACTAAGTGAGCGAACCACGCAGAACAACAGCCCTGCAGAGATAAGGAAAACTTGACACAAACCCTATACCAACCCGTCTGGCCAGCGTGGTATAGTAGGCCAGAACCTCCTTTCTAAAGAGAGGCCTATGTCCAGCAGTGGACTATTAAAAGCTGTTGATGATGATGGGAATCGAACCTTGAATTACTCATAACTTACTTAATTTGCCTTAAGGTATCTTACAAAATTTAAGAAATAATATTAAAACTCAGTACTCATGGCCCGTTTGATTCGAGTGATTCATTTTTAAAGTTAATAACTTATTGTTTTAATTCTGATTCCTTAAAAAACTCATAAATATAAAAATATAGTGCCTAAAGACGCTATGGCGTCACAGTTACTAATAATAGCAGGTCAAAGTTGCCTGATTAAGTATTTTTTAATTCGTTATATGGAAAAGCTAATTACAGTAAATTAATATGTTCAGAAGGCTAATTCTTATAATAACAGTTTGGTCACAATTCA